CTATACATACTGTTGTACTTGTGGGTATATATTAGTTAGGCCCTCTGAAGCAGCACTAGTGCTTTTCCTCTCTGCAGAATAGCCCTTGATTTATCCACAAGTCATATTAAAATCCATAATGTTGGTTCCAAAACCTGACCTTGTAAAGCCAACTTGTACGCAAGTATACTTATTTACAAGATGGAATTTGCTAGTTCACTTTCATAGGCTATTAAGAAACATGTTTCAACCAAATGTGGTTAGATTTATTTGTTTTATTTACTGTGAAAAAAATCAAACCAGATCGGATAAAAAAACTAGATTTCAAATAAATTGATGTTTCCCACTTCTATTGTATACAGAATGAAAACACAGTTTATAGTACTCACATAGGATCTTCTGTTCCTGACAAAATGATTCAGCCCAGCACCCTTAGAACTGTCCTCCATAGCTAATTTACCCCACAAAGTATCACAACTACAGTAAGTTATCCATAACTAACCACTATTTTCCTGTGCTTACCTTCTTGCCTTTAGACACTCTAAGATGCACACCATACCTTTTAAACCTTTCAGTTCATCTTTCAATTGATGAAAATTCTTTGTATGGTTTACTTTTTGTCATTGAATGGTTGCCATATTCATGGAAACCACCCTGAGTCCCTTTGGGGAGATAGGGCAGTCTATAAATAAAGTTTATTACTATTACTATTATTATTATTATTCAATATTTTTTCTTCTTTTAGATGAGACTGGTTCACTACTCTGCCCAGAGTCAGACTACATCCCCAGAGAGTTTCTCCACACCCTTAGTCTAGAGTAGTGGTTCTCAACCTGTGGTTCCCAGATGTTTTTGGCCTTCAACTCCCAGAAATCCTAACAGCTGGTAAACTGGCTGAGATTTCTGGGAGTTGTAGGCCAAAAACATCTGGGGACCCCAGGTTGAGAACCACTGGTCTAGACCAAGGGTTCTCAAACCTTAAGCTGAGGGCCTCAGACTATTGAGGGGCTGGACTATAGTTTGAACAAAATTAACAAATTCCTATGCACACTGCACATATCTTATTTATAGTGCAAAAAATACAATTTTAAAACAAAGAACAATTTTAACCAACATAAACTTAGTATTTCAATGGGAAGTGTGGGTCTACTTTTGGCTGATGAGATAGTCAAGTTAATTAGGATATTATTGTTGTGTGTCTTCAAGTCGTTTCAGACTTAGACCAAATCTAAGTCTAAAGTTTAGGGCAGGTGGCTGGTAAATGACCCTGGAGGGCTGCATCTGGCCTGCGGGCCTTAGTTTGGGGACCTCTTCTCTAGATCTTTCCTAATGATCACAGAGACCTCAAGTTTAGTTAGCCCCTACAATTTATGGAGAGAAGTACTACTAAGGTCTGAATACCCTAGAGGCAAAATCCTGCCTGATCTTGGAAGCAAATCAGGTTAATATTTGGATGGAGAACTGCCAAGGAATACCATGTACTGTAGGCTGTATTTCAGAGAAAGGAACTGACTAACTCACATTTGAGTATTTTCTGCCTAAGAAAAAAACTATGAAATAAATGCTGTCACCACAAGCCAATAACCACCTTGAATGTACTCAGGCACACATACACACTGTATTCGATTTACAGTAGTAGTAAGGCTTGACAAATCCAAGGCTGAAGTTAAAATTTCTGGAAGAAATATTAACAGTCTTAGATATGCAAATGATACCGCTTTGATGGCCAAAAGCAAGGAAGAGCTGAGAAGACTTCTAATCAAGGTGAAAGAAGAAAGTGCAATTTTTGCAGTTAAACATTAAAAAAACCAAGATTATGGCAACCAGACTGATTGATAACTGGGAAATAAAGAGAGAAAAAGTAGAGGCAGTGACAGACTTTGTATTTCTAGGCACAAAGATTACTGCAGACACAGACTGTAGCCAGGAAATCAGAAGACGTTTACTTCTTGGTAGGAGAGCAATGACCAATCTGGATAAAATAGTGAAGAGTGGAGACATCATACTGGCAACGAAGATCCGCATAGTTAAAGCAATGTTATTCCCCCTAGTAACCTATGGATGTGAGAGCTGGATTATAAGGAAGGTTGAGCAAAGGAAAATAAACACTTTTGAACTATGGTGCTGGAGGAAAATTCTGAGAGTGCCCTGGACCACAAGAAGATCAAACCAGTCCATACTCCAGGAAATAATGCCCAGCTGCTCACTGGAGGGAAGGATATTAAGAGACAATGATGCTGGGGGGAAAAGAAGGAAAAAGGAAAAGTGGCCGATCAAGGGCAAGATGGATGGATGTTATCCTTGAAGTGACTGGCTTGACTTTGAAGGAGCTGGGGGTGGCCACGGCCAACAGGAAGCTCTGGCATGGGCTTGTCCATGAGGTCACGAAGAGTCAGAAGCGACTGAATGAATAAACAGCAAATAATAATAATAACAATAACAATAATGCATTTATTACTAGCTTCTCCCTGTGGCTCGAGGCGGGATCAGCAGTAGTGTAAGGATTACTTCTTTTAAACAGGGTGGAAAATTCCATTCCCTAAGAGAAGGGATATTATGTTATATAGCAATGCATAATAAAATGGCTGTAGGTATCCTAGCTATAAACCAAATAATGGGTGAGTAATATACGTGATCTATTGAAGAGAGAATGCAGTTAGTAAGGGTGGGGAATTTTTAAAAAGGTCTCTCCTTTGGGAGAAATTAGAATTGATTTTTAGCATAGAGCTGGTAATTCCTCTCCTACACATTCTTTCTTGTTTACAGAGCAGCTGCAAATAAAGAAGTGTAAGAAAAGATGAGTACAGATTGCAAAAGATGGAAATCACATCTGTATCCAGGCAAACACATGGAGCCCATTTGAAGATCTAATCCATTGCTCTAGTAGCAGTAGAAAGTGTTTCCCCCCTTCACCACCAATGTTCCATCTGCTCCATATCTTCCATGGGAGATGTTCCAGGGGTTTGCAGGCCATTTCATCCTGACCATGTTGGACAGTTCATCAAGAGATAAGAGACTGCTGTGATAAACTGTATCCAATTTGTATAGCAATTAATGTGGAAACTAAGCCAGAAGGGTCATTAATGGTCTCTTACTCTGTGTGTTTGGATCAGTTTCAGTTAGATTCTCTCCAATGTTGGCAGGTTGTTTAGGAAGATATTTTCTCTAGAGCCATGTTGACCGTGAAGGTTAGCTGGGAAGTACGTGTTTCATTTAGTGGGGAAACAGTCAAAACTCTGCATTGAGAAAAGACAATTCCAGCTTTGTTAGATGAAGCTAGAATGAGTTCTTAAACTATTTTCTAAATTATAATGTCACTTTCCACTATCTAACAAATTGATCATCTCCATATTGTTTCTTTTGATTCAAATTGGGTTCTATAGATAATGAAAAATTTTAAATTTCTCACCATTTGCTCATAGATCCAATAGTTAGCTGAAATGTGACCCTATTGTTAATCATTTGATACAACAGATATGGGCTTGATGTAGATCAGGACTATCTTATTTTGTTTTTATTAAAGAATAAAAACATAAAAAATAGCAGATTTTTTTCCTGAGGGACAATAAATCATGGTTTAAATTATAGAAAACTGCAAACAAAAACAACACAAATAAGAACCAACACCCAAAAGATCTCCCCGTGAAAGTTTCCAGAGCATTATGTGTTTCAATGGTGGGCCACATTTAGAATTTAAACAATGGATACTATGTGGCATTACAGTATCAATTGATCTAGTTTAAGAAGGTGAACGGTGAAATGGTGGGAGGCTGCAGCAGGATATGTCTATGCATTCATGTAGTATTCAATGAGCAGGTGTAGACAAAAGACCATTGTTAAGACAGAATAAAAACGATATCATTTCCCATTGACAAGAGTGTCAGAAAAGAAGGCAAAAGACTTGGAACAGCTACCGAGCAAAATTATGGAAAAAAGTGTCAAAGCAGCGTTACAGCTGGGCTTTAATACAAAAATAAAGGCAACAAAAGATTTTAATGACTGTAAAGCTGATAAGGGAGGTATTGAAAATTGTAAACATTTTCTGTATAATTTCTCAGCCATCAATCCAAATAAAAACTGCAGAAGGCGGGTTTTACAGATATGATGGACTGCCAAATAATAACTGGATCAAATTAAGCTCTCACTAGAAGTCAACATGACTAAAATGAGTCTAGCTTCATAATGACTCTCTGGAAAAGACGATAACACTAGGAAAGCTAAAAGCACTAAGAAAAAAGGAAGACCACATTAAAAATGGATTGATTCAATAAAGTAAACCATATGCCTATATTTGCCAAAAAAAATACCATGCCAGATTATAATAGGATATCTTGGAAATCTATCAAGTATAGAACTGGATAAGTTGAAGATGACTTGATGACACAGAACAAACAAAACCTCACTGAACATAATGACATAATGGCACTTACTTTTAAAGAAGTATACACAGGATTACATTGTAGCTGCATTTAATACCATGCGCTATTAAATTGTGGCAAGTGTGTTTACATTCAGCCAATTCACATATTCAGCTTGAGTCATCCATACATATGCAGTGACCCGAAATGATAAGAAATAGAGTTATGTTAAAATTTACATGTATAAGCTTTAAAATTCAGTTTATAATTAGATTGACAGATGTTTAATAATGTAAACACTGTGGTAAAAAATCTAGGACTACATGGTAAAACACTTTTAATGGATTTTCAGACAATAAACAAATTAAAGTAATATAAGAACTGGCACTGACAGTAAAACAAACAGAGTTTGATGGATGATGTTAAAAATAATCTTCAACCACCCCTTTATGTGAAGGAAATTCCTACCACACCTCAAACCAAAAATTAGAGAGTTAAGCCACAAAATTTTACCAAGCTAAAGCTATCCCCTTATTTCAAGAAACTATTCTGTGCAACAAGAACTACCTCAAACTTCTCCGGAAGCTTTCACAGCAAATTATATTTCATCAAGTGCTTAAAGTCAGAAGTAAACAGTCTTTATAGTGACATTCTGGATTTTAAGAGCATCACTACCTGATATGGTCTAGAGCTTGTAGCATACTTATTGGTCAAAAATTGCTGCTTTTCAGGTAAGAAACTATTTAACCATTTTATTTACTCACATTTATATATACTGTGCTTCAGATTATGACACAGATGTATGAAGTCTGATTTTGAATATAGTCACAACAAAAATATGTGTATTAGTTAAATTACTGGTGAATTCAGAAAGTTGTGTGGCAAATCACTAAAAAGATTCCAATAATTTTGCATAGGTGATTTTTTTTAAAGAAGACACAACTAAAACCAAGTTATAAAAATTGTCAAGATATTTGCAGCCTAATCCTACATTAACTATACTACCCCAGTAAGAGAATACAGATTCTATTGTTAGTCCACTTTGACATGGCACAGTTTTTTTTTTTGCCAGTTCTAAGGAAGCCCTTGTACCAATTAACTCAGGAACAAACAGACCCAGAAAAGAATCGAGGGGAGGGAAGTGTAATTTTTCCTAATGGGAAGTTCTATTCCAGCTGTGCTGGTACAATACTGTGATAACTTGGTAAGGTAGAAATAGCAGAACTATATGACTCTGTTAGGCTGAACTAGTACAATATAGTGTTTTAGTGTGTTATTACCACTAAGAGAAGATGAGATCAAGTCATTAGAGTCTCTTATTTCGAAATCAGCAATTTGATTTAATGATTCAAAAATATTTTTCCTTTATATATAAGCCATAAATTCCTAGTGCTTCATCAAAAAAGAGTTCAAACTCAAAAGTTCTAGATAGAAACCTAAAGGAATAAAAACGCAAAAGATATGGCCAGACAGAGTGAGCTAATGATGCGTGAGGAAGCTGCAGTTTGACACAAGGGAGGCTGTGGGTGGACAGTCTTTCTAGAAGCCAAGCTAGAGAAGAAAGAAGCAGTAGCTTTGTCCTCTTGCTCTAAATAGCCATACAGAAATGTAAGCATTTAATCTCATTTTCTTAATATTATTTTGGAAGCGGAGGGAGGAATTAAAGTTCAGAGGAAAAGAAAGGGGTAAATAGCTATGCAGAAAAAGGTTGCCAGAAAGAAAAGGATCCCTCATATTTCCCAGTAGAACTGCTTCTTGTGGGTTTTATGCTTTTCATCATATTAATATGGTTTATTTGGATATCAGTTTTCTGCAGTGATCTCAACAAGAAGATTATGGAACAATTTCAATATTACTTACTTAGACTTCTAATTTGGGAAAATATAATAGACATTTACTCGAAATATATAATGTTTTCAGATATAATACTGCCTCTAGATTATTTTTTGCATCTGCTTTCTTATTTTGATCTTTCAAAACACAAGGTCTTAACATTTAGCAATGTGAAGAGACTGCAACACATCTTGGACTCATTGTTGACATTTAGACAAAAAAACATGCTTTGTGATGGTTGGCAATAAAAAATAGATAACAACGTATTTAAATATTTTTTGAGTCCAACTTTGGTCTCATTTGACTTTTCTGCGTTAGGGGAACTGATTATCTTTTATTATTTTATACTAGTTGTATAACTACAAAATGGTATTATTTCTTGATCTGTTTTCTTTTCATACAATGTCTCCCCAGGAACGTTGTAAGAATTATGCTTTACTCAATTATTAAAGCAGCACTTTCTGCTGTAATTGATATTAACTTCACAATGGAAGCATATGAGAACGATTATTGTTTAGGATACTCTAACAGTTTTGTTTAATAGAAAAACAAAAGAAATAACAATAAGAACACAGGACTATTCAACTCACATTCATTTCAAAATAAGTCCTATTGAGCTGAAGGCCAATTGTTTCCAGCTAAATGTGCAAAGAACTGCAGTATCATTTGCTTCATACCATTCAAATTACTGGCTTATGGAAATATCTAAAATAATCAGTCTAATATAATTAATTATTTAGATAAATAAAAGCTTTGAATTGTGCTGAAAATAAAGGATGAGAAAAAGACAATAGATTACCAATGCTGCTGAAAAATTCAAATCTTAATACCTCAGAAAATAATACTGAAAGGACCAAGCTCATATCTCATGGTCAATATACAATAAGAAGGAATCTGAAGAACAATTTGATGACCAGGGCTATAGACACGATCGCTCCAGAACGCCTCGTCTCGAGTAACTAAGCTAAACCAGCTACTTGGTTCACTGAGGAGCTGGCAGCGATGAAGCGAAAGAAGAGGTGGCTAGAGCGCGTGTGGCGGCGGAAACGTAGCGGGTCAGTCCAAGCATGTCTAGTTTCCTTCTTAAGGAGCTATGACGCGGCACTAAAGGCTGCACAAAAAACATTCCTTACAGCCAATATTGCGTCCGCTAAGAATCGTCCGGCTGAGCTGTTTAGAGTTGTCAGAGGACTATTAAATCTGCCTCAGAGTGAGATCCCTGACAACTCGGCAGATCACTGTGAAGCATTTGCTCGTTTTTTTGCGAACAAAGTTGCACTGATCCGTTCCGACTTCAACGCCACGTTAACAGCTGTCTCTGAGGATGTAACACAAGCACCTGCTTGTCCGGTTTTAATGGATTCTTTTCAATCGGTTCAGCTGAAGGATGTGGACAAGATCCTTGGAGAAGCGAGGCCTACCACATGCATCCTAGACTCCTGCCCATCCTGGCTGATCAAAGAAGCCAGAGGGGGTTTGGCAGAGTGGGTTAAGGTGGTGGTTAATGCCTCCTTACAGGAGGGCAAGTTTCCAGCCAGCCTAAAACAGGCTGTTATAAAACCGCTGTTGAAAAAACCATCACTGGACCCCACTCAATTAGTCAACTATTGGCCAGCCTCCAATCTTCCCTACTTGGACAAAGTCATGGAACGTGTGGTGACCTCGCAACTCCAGGGGTTCTTGGTAGACACTGATTATCTAGATCCAGCACAGTCTGATTTTAGGCTGGGACATAGCACTGAAACAGCCTTGGTGCCTTAGATGATCTTCGCCGGGAACTTGAAGGGGGAGTGTGTCCCTGTTGGTTATGCTGGACCTCTCAGCGGCCTTCAATACCATTGACCACGGTATTCTTCTGGGACGCCTCACAGAAATGGGACTTGGAGGTACTGTTCTTCAGTGGCTCCAATCCTTTCTGGAGGGTCGGTCTCAGAAGGTGACACCTGTTTGACTGCACAACCATTGTCTTGTGGAGTCCCTTAGGGTTCAGTTTTGTCCCCAATGTTATTTAACATCTACATGAAGCCGCTGGGAGAGATCATCCGGAGTTTCAGAGTAAGGTGTTATCTGTACGCAGATTATGTCCAAATCTGTTACTCCTTCCCACCTGTTACTAAGGAGGCTGTCCAGACCTTGAACCAGTGCTTGGCTGCTGTGTCGGACTGGATGAGGGCTAACAAATTGAAATTGACAAGACAGAGGTCCTCGTGGTCAGTCAAAAGGCTGAACAGGGCATAGGGTTACAGCCTGTGTTGGATGGGGTTACACTCCCCCTGAAGATGCAGGTTCACAGTTTGGGGCTGATCCTGGATTCATCAATGAGCCTGGAACCCCAGGTTTCGGCGGTGGCCAGGGGAGCTTTTGCACAGCTAAAACTTGTGCACCAGCTGCGCCCGTACCTTGGGAAATCTGATCTGCAGCAGCCAGATTACTAACTGGGGCAGCATACAGGGAGCATACCACCCCCCCCTGCTGTGCCAGCTCCAGTGACTGCCGGTCCATCTCCGAGCCCAATTCAAAGTGCTGATTTTGACCTATAAAGTTCTATACCAGTGGTTCTCAACCTGGGGTCCCCAGATGTTTTTGGCCTATAACTCCCAGAAATCCTAGCTAGTTTACCAGCTGTTAGGATTTCTGGGAGTTGAAGGCCAAAAACATCTAGAGACCGCACGTTGAGAACCACTGCTCTATACGGTTCTGGCCCAGCTTACTTGTCCGAACGCATTCACCCCTACATCCCACCTCATAATCTAAGATCATCCGGGGAGGCCCTGCTCTCGCTCCCATCAACAGCACAGATGCCTCTGGTGGGGACGAGGAGCAGGGCCTTCTCGGCTGTGGCCCCCCGCCTATGGAACACACTCCCAAATGAGGTAAGATCTGCTCCCTCCTGACTTTTAGAAAAAAAAATTAAAATCATGGTTTTGGGACCAGGCCTTCGGGCAGTAGAAGTAAATGTATGCAGCATTTCAGAAAGACAATGACTGGAACAGCGATTTGACGGACGAGACTGTTTTATTGTTTTAATGATTATTTTATTGCTTGTGGATGCACTGTTTTTAACTTGATTTATGTCTAATTGTGGTGTATAATTGTAATTGTTTGTACTGGCATTGAATTTTGCCATTACTTATGTGTAAACTGCTTTGAGTCCCCCTCGGGGTGAGAAAAGCGGTATACAAATACTGTAAATAAATAAACTATTTGCCAGTTTTTGTACCTTTAATGAGAAATGGTATTAACCTCCTAAAACATTGTCAAAGAGAGAAAAGAATTTTAGTTTGTCAGTTATTGCACAAGCTGAGCAGGACTTGGCCATCTCTAGTGCTGCCCATTCTGCCTCTATTTTCTCCATGAACAAGAATCATGGCAACAACTCTTCAGGTCTGGTAGGCATTTCAGGAAATCTAGCACTTGTTCTGTACACGTTGCCTATATCTATCTGAGGAGTCAAGTTTTTATAGTCATGCAGTTCTCCCAGATATGGACCCACATCTTCAGTTGTAAAAAAAACCTCATGTCAGTTATTTCAGATACTGCTTTCTGTTCTCAGGATAAAGCCCTCCAGCTCAGATGGATGGAGGGAAGCTGAGAACTTCCTATGAGCGCCTCTCTGGCTGGACTTGTATGGGTTAATAACCTCTCATTAGTGTAGTCACAGTGCCTGGTGAACCCCTTTCCTCCTACCAATTCCAGTTAGAAGAAAAACAGTCAATCCTGCATGTATTGGAGAGTAGAGAGAAGAATCCATGAAAGAACAGGTTTGATTGTGACAAGCATGGGAGCATCCTCTGGGTCTAATCATTTAAGGAGAACCTCATCTGCCAGGGAAAGCAGAGTTATTTTTTGATGTCCTTTCCCTGAACCAAGATGGAAGCCACTATGAATAATGTGTTGGAGAAAACCTAGGACATTCTTCCTATCCACTTCTAGCAGCTTCAGAAGGAAACTCTTCACACAGAGCCAGACTCACAGTCACTAACTTGCTGGTTTCTGAGTGAAAAGCAGGGGCATCTACAAGTAAGGATGGGAAGGGCAAAACAATTCCAGGTAACTCATACTGGAATTCTCCTCAGCTAGAAGTGGATACAACAGAAGAAAAAATCTCAACCTTGAAGCATAAAGCAAGGCTCTTTTGTGGACAACTCAGAGGGCTGACTTCAGCAGGTGAATAAGCATTGGAGGACAAACCACCCAGATAGATAGCTCTACCTTCAACAACCACTAAGAGCAGATCCTTCACTCCCTGCAGTACCCTCCAGTCTTCTCAAAAGGCATCCTAAGTAACTAGAGGCAACATGGAGGTGTCTCTAGATCCATATCCACAATCACTTAATGGCTTGTTTATTTATAATGAACAGAGGTTGAAACTTTTTATCCTGTTTATTTTAAAAAAAGTATGCCAGAGGAACTAGAGTTGTGAAACTGCAGCATCCTGAGGGTTAAAATTGTACAGGGTTGTCTTCTCATGCAGGGTAGAAACTGACAAATATTTACACTGCTCCACTTGACTGGTTTTGGAAAGAGTCCATGGAAGGAGATTTACATCATTATCAAAAAGTTCCTTTGGACATACCGAAAGGTTAGGCCAGACTCAGTGCAATATTTAATTAAAATACCATGCTGTATGAACTACAAGGAATATCTCAGTCAGGGATGCCTCTCTCAGTGAAGTTCCTTTTTACAATGAATTTTATATATGCTCATCCCCTTTTTGTCCTCATCTCATCTGGCAATTTTTTAGGCATTAGCATGGAGAAGAAGGTGAAGAGGGCTGGAGAAACACATTGTTCACTTGAAGTACCATATTTGCAATAAAAATGAAATCATAGAATCATAGAGTTGGAAGTGATGCCAAGGGTCATCCTTTCCATTCTATCCCCAATGTTTTTTAATATTTACATGGACTTCTGCAATGCACTTTGGAGAAAGCATTCATAAGCATGGGGTGTTATCAGTATGCTGATGATACCCAAATATATTTCTCCATGCCTTCAAAAACAGCCTCAGCTGTGTCTCCTCTGAATGAATGAATGAATGATTTACTGTATTTATATCCTGTCCTTCACACCCCAAAGGGGACTCAGAGCAGCCTTATAATTGGCAGCAATTTGATGCCATATCAGCAAACAATAAAATAAACATATACATTAAAACAAAAAATAAAAGCAATATAAACATTAAAACACATTAGCAAAATCACACCTGGAGGAGGCAATCAGCTGGTGCTTGCCATCAAGGGTCCGAATCTGAGGCTGGAGGAATGTCAATCAATCCTGGTTGGGGTTACAGTCCCCCTGAAAGACTATGTTTACAGCTTGGGATGCTCCTGGACCCATCTCTCCAAATGTCAGCCTAGGTAGATGCGACAGTCAGGGGTGCTTACCATCAGTTTTGGCTGATATGTCAGCTGCACCCCTTCCTAGATTTGAAGGGCCTAAAGATGGTAGTGTACGTGCTGGTAACCTCAAGATTGGACTTCTGCAATCTGCTTTACATTGGGTTATCTGTGTACCAAGTTCAGAAACCCCAGCTGGTTCAAAATATGGAAGCCAGATTGATTATGGGAACACCTAGGAGTGGGCATATTACACATATCCTAAAGTCACTTCACTGGCTGCCAATTAGTTTCCGAGCAAAGCTTTGACCTGTAAAGCCCTATGTGGTTTAGGTGCAGATTACCTACAAGATCGCTGTCTCCCATACAATTTGCCCTGGAGACTTAGGCTTAAAAACCTTCAGAAAAGGAGACTCTACTACACTCTGAAGCAGCATATTCAAGTGTCGAGAACTCTTTTGTTCAGCAAGTTCTTCCCAATATTTAGGTGGATTTTTTTTGTTCTACAATTTGAACATAGTTTGAGCTGGGAAAGGGCAGAATTTTATTTAGCTGATCTGATTTTATCCCTGTCTGCCATCCTACCAAGCATAATCCCTTGCACATGGAGAACAAAACAGAGATAAAACAGGAGAGCATACAGCTGTCTCAGCAGCCACCCCAACATGATACATGATACAGGCTTATTCATTTGGCTTACAAAATGGAAATGATATGAAAAATTGTGGCTTGTGAAATATGCCAATTTGTCTGTAGAGGGTTCAAAAACACATTGTTTAGTTATGCAACTGGTTGTTTCTTTTCAGATTTTGTTCATCTTTGAATAAAAGTTTGGTTGAAACATGTTAAAACCTATCCTGTTCTTCCCATGTTGTTTCCAGCTCTAATATCAAATTTTATGTTTAAAAACTTGTACCCAGGAAAGCACCTATCAAATATACTTGTGTATAAGTTGGCTTCGTGTATAAATCAAGGGCAGGTTTTTGGGTCATGGATAAATCCAGGGTCATTTGGCAGGGAAGAAAAAGTCAGCTAACCCTAGCTGCCTTTACAGTTTCCCCAACCACACATTCAAAAAGGCTAGACAGTGCCATGGAAGAGAGAAAAATAGGGCATATGTGTCAAACACAAGGCCTGGGGGCTAAATCCACCCAGTCATGTCATTTTATGTGGCACCTGAGGCTTTCAATGCCAGGATAACTTAGTTACATGTATACATTCTTACAATTACTAACAGCGCTTTGAAGGCAACCATAAAGCTGATCTGGCCCTCAGTGAAAATGACACACCTGCTACAGAGGGTAGGTTCTCCCAGGATGCACGACACTCTTACCTTTTCCCACTCTTCTCACAGAAGAGGATAGCTCCCCTTTTTGATAAGAGTTAAGACACAGTATTCACATTGATCTGTGGATAGGTCAACCCAGGTTTTTTGGGTTGATTGAATAGAATTTTTAAACCTATATATGAGTATATGGATAACTTTGCTAATTTGGGTGTACTTGTGCTTTTCTTTAAGTGTCCAGATTTCCAAAACTGCATGTCATACAGGATCCGTTGCTGGCACTGAAGAAAAAAGCATAGGTTTCCTTAGGTAAAAACAGTTAATTGTATTGTAACCCAACTGTAAACTGCAACACACCCACATGCAATTTGGCTAATTATTACAAGGTCCATCCGTCGCCATTCCCACCGGAAGTCCCGGGCTTCAGTTCTCATGATGAAAAAGTTGGTCCTTCTTACACAGTATTTATCAGCATATAGTTTATTAATGCTATGTGTGCATAGTTCTTTGATAGTTTCCTAAACTCTTGTTACTTAATACATTTTAAGGGAAACCATAGTGAGAAGAGAATGAAAAAAGAAGAATGAAATAAGGGAAGACTTTCTATAATGACTATGTTAACTGTACTTTTCAGTTCCATGTCTGGCCATCCATTGTTTTGTTTTCCTTTGCTTTGCAACCACTTCTCAACCTAATGTACTTCTTTTTGCCACCCTCAGATTTAACCATGGACAGCATATAACCCCTTATATCTTAAGAACAACTGTAAGATTTTCTTATATGCCCATTTTCTTACCTGATGTTATTTTAGTAGTCTTATATTTTTAATAATTGTGAAAGTTGCTTCTTTTCATTATAGCTCGTAGGTCACTGGTAGTAGGGAATGAATACAACCTAAATCAAATGCTGAATCAGATTCCCTGAGCTCTTCTATTACAGGCCCGAAATGTCTAATCTTTGAGCTTTCTGCTGGTGCCTCCTTGTTTCCCCAGACAAGCATGAGGTTTTAATCTCCATCAAATAGAAACTTTTCTTTCCATTACCGAAACTGAACCATGAATAGTCTATTGGGTGGGAATTTTGTTCCTTGAAGTGGAAAAAGAAGCAACTTCTTTCATGTCTATGTATTTGTGACAGATCTTTCCTCTTAAGCCTTTATTCTCTGAAACCAAAGTACGGTACATTAAATCTTTGTGACATCTTTTGGGAAACTCTTTCATAGAGATGGGTCATGTCAACTGTGTTTATATGGCCAAAGGGACCTAACTTTCCTTTGTGGCAGAACAGTTCAATTTTTCTTCCTTCCCAGTGGACACCACAAAATATAGTGTAGTGCAATTTCCTCCATTCTTATTTTAGCTTTTGGAAATTATCTGTTTAGAAGCTTCTTGCATTTTACAAAGTAAATGCCTATGTGAATTAATGTGCATACATCCTGAATGATTAAACTCACAGAAACCTTTAAAAACTAAGTGTCAAAAGAAAAAAATGCAGAACTAGTTAAGGACAAAAATGCTTTATAAACCTCCATTAGACAGCCTCCATTAGCAAAATTCAGGAATTCTTCTTTTGCAAATACATTTCACATGTTGAGGCAAATAGTTTTCAATGTATATCCCAGGATACTGACAGTCATATGCTTGTGCTTATTGTCCCCTCTAGGAAACAAGTAACCTGAAAGAAGTTTTCTGAATAGGCAAGGCAGCATCTTTAACTTAAATTATACATATTAAAAATAAACCTACTCCATGAAATCTGAGTGCCCTGTGAAATGTTTCATTGTGGAAGCTTTACATTATCTATGCAAGATTTAGGGTTAGAACCAATACAAATCACTGGAGTTCTCTATTATCCAGAAGAGCTACAAATGGTTACATTATTAGGAGACAGCTGGTGTCTTCTGTTTTAAATATAGTGATTCAGGCTGTATACACAAATGATCTGATTTTGGCCCTAAGTCTAAGACAGATGTAGTTCCAAAACTGTACACTAGCTATTTTTTAGACAAAACAAAGTAAAAAAGGGTAACATCCTGCCAATTGCACAAGTACTGGTATTTCCTGTCTATGGCCTTGTTTATTATTATTAACATCATACCGTTTTTCTCTTTCTACAGGATGCCATATCTGAAGTTGGACATGGGGTTCCTAAGTCTACTATTCATTATTCCTTTTTTATTTGGAGTCACAGTAGTCTGCCAATATGAATTTGATGACTTTGAAGATGACTACGAAAATGAAATAGATCATGAATATCCACCCATTTTCCACCATAATCCTGGGATAGAAAATGCCTTTCCTTATTTTAACACACCAAATGAATGTGCCAAAGAATGCTTTTGTCCTCCTAATTTCCCAATAGCAATGTACTGTGATCATCGTAAACTTCAGAAAATACCAAGCATACCCTCTCACATCCAACAAGTTTATCTGCAATATAATGATATTGAAGCAGTACATTTGGAATCATTTGTTAATGCTACTGCCTTGAAAGAAATTGACCTCAGCCATAACAAAATTAAGTCTCATATGATTGACACAGGCGTCTTTGGCAAACTCTCAAACTTAGCTCAACTCCACTTACAATACAATCTGTTAGAAGAAGTTCCATACCCACTACCCAGAAGCTTAGAACGCTTGATCTTGGGCTTCAATCAAATTTCCAGTTTGCACCGCAAAGCTATAGAAGATTTAGTAAATCTCACCATGATTGACCTCTGCAGCAACTACCTTGAGGATTCACAATTCAAAGGAATACAGTTTTCAAATACTAAGAATCTAATGCAACTCAACCTCTGTAGCAACAGATTACAATCAATGCCTCCAGAACTACCATCTTCACTCATGTATCTTTCACTTGAAAACAATTCAATTTCTGTGATTCCAAATAACTATTTCCAGAGACTTCCCAAACTTCTTGCTCTTAGAATGTCATACAACAATCTGCAAGAGGTTCCCCACAATGCTTTTAACATTCCTGGTCTTGTGGAACTCAACCTTGGACACAATAAACTGAAGCAAGTCTTCTATATTCCAAGAAGCCTGCAGCACTTGTACATAGAAGATAATGAAATAGAAGGTTTGTTAATTTAAAATATATATATATTCATCTGTAATATACTAGTTATTACTGATCTTCAAACAGTAAGGCTATTAGGGAATTAAATGCATTATAAGCAATCTTTTAACATGCTTTTAAATTTAATATGAGGTACACATCTTTTTACATTTCATAGAAAAATCAGTTGAAATCAAAATATGCTTCTTTATTCAAAAGTGTTGCTTAAAACCACATGAAAATGTAATTAGTAGTTTAATTAACCATCTAAAATGTAAGATGGTTAAATTGCTATGTATAGCTCCACGCCAAATCACAGTTAATTGTTTGAACTATAGTTTGGTAAAATGTCTGAATGAAACATAATCTCTTATCTTGCAGATAGGAGGGTCAGAATAGCAGATCAGCACTCCTGACAGCTGCTTTTCAGTTCAGGTTCTCACCCAAAGCTCAGTTTACTTTAGACTAATGGTTCTCAACTTGTAGGTCCCCAGATGTCAACTCCCAGGAATCCCAACAGCTGGTAAACTAACTGGGATTTCTGGGAGTTGTATTCAAAACACCTGGGGACCCACAGGTTGAGAACCACTGCTTAGACCAGTGGTTCTCAACCTGTGTGTCCGCAGGTGTTTTGGCCTACAACTCCCAGAAATCCCAGCCAATTCACCAGCTGCTAGGATTTCTGGGAGTTGAAGGCCAAAACATCTGGGGACCCACAGGTTGAGAACCACTGGCTTAGACAGTGCAATCTTAAACTTGCCTTCATCTTACATCAAACAGAAGAGTTCCTACAATATTTCTAAATTCCACACAGCCATTTTTAAAATAAGCCCAAAGTAAAAAGGTTAATAAAAACATAGAAACTTTAAAAAATGGGTCGCATTGATTTTAATGGAACTTAATCCTACAAAACTGGGTACAGAATGTAAACGTAGCATTCTTAATGTGAAGGGCTGTTCTATTATGACTCTTAACAAGTGCTAATGTGTCTGAATAACATTTAGTAGTGAACTATTACAGGTAGTAGCTATATCTACCTAGCTACAAAAAACAAAAATGACTTCAGCTCCTATTGAAACAGTAATAGCACGATTGGCCTTGAATCCAGCTGATTAAAGAATGTTTTGCAAACTGTGGCATGAATACGTCCACCTTTTAACACATCATCATTATTATTATTTTATTACAGTTATGAATATTACCTTAATGTGTCCTTCTCTTGATCCACTGAACTTCAGTCACTTAACCTATATACGGGTGGACCAAAACAAACTCACTGCTCCTCTAAGCACATACGCCTTCTTCTGCTTTCCACACATACGAAGTATATACTACGGTGAACAAAAACTCAGTACCAATCAACGAACACAACTAAGAACACCAGTGTTTCGAAGATACCTCACACCAGAAGAGTATGAAGAAGCAGAAGATGGCCATGAAGATCAAGGTCATGAGAACGATATTAGAGGAAGGGAGGATGACGACTACTTTGATGCTTACTTGTATTAAATCATTGTAGATGCAATCATAATGAATGCTGTTTTCTCACATGATTCACCATCCATTCTATACTAATTATAAACATTTCCATATAATTGAGGAGAATGCCTATTTTAAAAGCAAATGGAGTCACTTAGGAAACACAGAACTATATGGCATTTCTTAGCCCTCTGAAGTAAGTGAAGCAAGTACTAGCTATTGTTAACACCAAATTTACACAATTTGAACATCAAGGTTGTGAAAGATTCTAAACATCATGCCTGTACAATTAGAAAATTTTCAAGGATATAAATAAACATTGTGACAGCTCTGCATGTATAATGCATATCTAATGCAAATATCAAGGAACCAAGAAGAAAAAAAGAAAAAGAAATAAAAAATATATGTCTGTAATGCGGAAAAGTATACTTAGTTATGACTGCAAGTTGTTTTTCAGTTGGGTATACAAGTTCTATCATGCTGGTTATAGATACAGTCAAAGGCACTAAGCAGGGTCAGTCCTGGTTAGGGTTTGGATGGGAGACTGCTATGGAAAATGGGTGATGTAAGCTGTATTTTGGAGGAAAGAACTGGCAAAACCATCTTGTTTAGAAAAAATAAGAAATTAATGGGTTCACTATGAGTCGACAGGCCACTTGAAGCAACACACATACACTCAATTTTAAGGAAAACATTAGTATTTTCATGTTGGCAGGTATGTGACCATGTTGTAATGTACAAATACACTATGTATCTATGACAACCAGATACAAATTAAAATTCATGACAATAACAGCTTCTTCCAGATTCTGCACTTTGTCACTTCATAAATATTAAGCTATTAAACTGTATGTCCACCAGCTCAGAAGAGCAAACTGTAAGTATAGTCATTTGGGGAAGTCGACTGATAGAAATTAATCTATAGAAGTCACATTTAAAGCTAGCCATAAAGATTTCCTATCACTACACATTTTCTATAGGGTATCTAATCGATTTAATAACTACATTATCTTCATTTCATAACTTAATACTCTGTAATTTATAACAATATCTTAACAAACAGATCACTAAAAGCATAGGCATGGCGTAATTTCATTATTTACTTAGTATTTTCACTTTAGAACTAATTGTGTAACACTAATGCTTGTAAGTAAAAGCCATATATTAAACAAAAGGTTTTAACAATTTAATATTTTTGTATTAATTTAGAAAGCTAGATAGAGGCATTTGCAGATAAATGTACCATCTAATTCAGACATATAGTTGATTTCTTGTAGCAGATTGCTTATCTTTATAATAAATCCGGACATAATAAATACTGATGAATTGAAAAGGCTGAACTTAATTTTTCTCTGTCTTGAAACTATTGGTAAATTATTCTGCTTTTCTAAACACTGCATGCTTTGTTGGTTAGGTAAAAGATTGGGTGTGAATGAAAACAATTCAATGAGGAAATGAGCAATTGATCTCCCTCTCAACTGTCAGGAGGAATGGCCACTTAGGAGGAACACAAAAATCCAAGAGTCTATCTCAATCCAGTTAGGGAATGGTCCTGCTGCCTGTAACACAACACTCATTACCTCAGTCCCAGAAAAACCTAGGACTGTTCACATACTGATAAAAGACAGAAAATATTTTTTAAAAAAGCAACACGAAAATAAGAATATTAGGAAAGCAGCAAGAGTTAGAGGCATAGTAGAAGACTGATCCTATTATTACAGTGATTGCTCCAGTTTTTCCCAACTGCAGGGAGTAGAATGCTTGCCAAACGTTACTCAAGTCTTGAAAGGTTTCTTGTGTGAGCTGTAAAGACCATAAAGAAAAAGAAGAAATTACTTTTAAAGTAAGAGTGGTGCATCCTCCATAATACTAATAATTACTTATTATGGAGAAGAGAGGATCCAGGGATAGTTGTGGTGAATATAATACCTCCAAAGCACACATTGTGAAGATGCAAACTAAATTATGCAAAATTCACATTACCACCTTTTTAAAGCCCACTGGTTTCTTTGTTTGGCAAGGATGCTTAAAATCCATGTAGTGGAATAAAAGTGATGGCACTAAGAATGTATTTAGAACATAGTGTCTATGTAGACCAAAACATTAGTCCAAAGCTCCTGTAGCCATAGAAATAAAAGCAACTCAGCAATTAAAAAAAACCATTACCATTTGCAGCTAAAAAGTATCTCCTTTAGAAATGTGGGTCTCTTTCCATCTCCAGTGTAAGGCCCGAGACCTGACGTTAGGGCACAGTTTGCCCGAAACAGAACCTTAACCAGTCACAAGTTGCAGTTTCTATATTTGAAAAGAAAGGCATTCCTGTTCAGTGCCAAAATCCAATTTACTAATGCCAAAGGAAATAACATCACACTGTTAAAATATGTGTCTACGCTAATTGGACAACATTTCACTTCTACATCTCAAATACTATGACACAAATCCAAAGCAGTGCTTACACAAGACAAATCCCACACCCCTGTGAACTGTGAAGTATGAAGATACCTCCCTTAATTTCTTCCTTCCATCTCATATTCCGTGTCTCCTTAGAAGCAGGGACATGTGTAAAGCAGCAATAAGGAACACTTTCAGTTCATCCTTGTTCAGTTACACATATTAATGCTCATGTATATCTCATGTATACATGTGTTTTGTCTTTCCTTCCTTCCCTCCCTCTCTTTCTTTCTCTTCTTCCTTCGCTCCCTTTTTCCTTCCTTTTCTTTTTTCTTCCCTTCTCTCCTTCCTTCTCTCTCTACCCATTTCTTTCCATCCCTCTTCTTTTCCTTTCTCTCCTTTCTTCCTTCTCTGCCTCTCCTTCCTTCCTTCGCTCTTTACTTCCATGCTTCCTTTTCTCTTTCCTTCCTTCCTTCTTTCTTTTCCCCTTCCTTCCATCCCTCCCACTTCCTTCCCTTTTTTCTGTATGCCATTTATCTTTTCGTCATTTATCTTTTTGGGGGTTTTAAGTCCTTTCCACTTTTTTGGGGGGGGGTTATGAGTTATGGACACTCACTGGTCTGTTAGCGTTGCTGTGGTCAACCTTCCCTCCCTTTTTCTCTCTCCTTCCTTCCCTCCCTCTTTCCTCTGTTCCTTTCTTTTTTCTTTCCTTYTCTCTTCCCCCCTTTTCTTTACCTTCGTTTTCTCCTTTCTTCCTTCTCTACCTCTTTCTTTCCTCCCTTCCTTTGCTCTTTGCTTCCATCCTTCCTTCTCTCTTTTCTGACACGATACAAAAACACACACACACACACACACACACACACACACACACACACACACACAGTAGAGTTTCTGATACAGGCCACAGGCAATTATTCCCACAATATGCTTTATCTCCCTCCGCCTCAAAGGGGGAGACAAAGTGGGGTATAAATAAATATATTATTATCATTGACACAAAAACACAGTATGTCACAGCAAACAAGATCTATATGCTGGATTTCGTATCACAAAATCACAAGTCGAACACTTCCCAAGTGTCTAGGACTGCCACCTTGTCATGGTTGGGGGCTTAACTGCTCCAAGGATGCTGAGAGCTGTGCTGGCAGTAGTCTAACTACCAGCAGGTTCAACCAAGTCAAAGAGATCTCAAGCTGAGGAGTGGAACTAAGAGAACCTAATCAGTTTGCATTATGGAGAAACAAACCAAAACAAAGTCTATACTGGCTTGGTCAACACCCAGGATAAAAAGGGTTTTGGGTTTTTTTGTCGTGTCAGGAGCAATCGCTCCTGTTGTGAGAGAATTGGCCGTCTGCAAGGACGTTGCCCAGGGACGCCTGGATGATCTTTGATGTTTTATCATCCTTGTGGGAGGCTTCTCTCATGTCCCCGCATGAGGAGCTGGAGCTAAGAGGGAGCTCATCCGCCTCTCCCCGGATTTGAACCTGCGACCTGTCAGTCTTCAGTCCTGCCGGCACAGTGCTTTAACCCACTGCGCCACCGGGGGCTCCTAGGACCGCAGTGGATGCTGCTGATTCTGGACATCCATCAACAACTGGGCTACAGAATCAAACTATCATCATCATCATCATCATCATTATTAATATTATTATTATTATGTCAGGGATTGGTACTATTGACCTCCATCATGCTGCCACCTTCCATATCAGTACCATGTTTTTTTTCCCATCCATTATAACTGTGCTTATTTCCTGGAAACATGCTGCAGACTGGAAACTAATGATTTGTGGATGAGCACCAGTCCATGGATTTCCACAGTTAAGTAGTACTTGGTATACACAATACCTGTGTTCAGCGGACTAGGTTATTAAAAGCTCCACAGTAACAGGAGGGATTCACAAATAACCATTGTGTGAACACTGCTCTAAATAAAACCATATGTTATGTTGAATGATAGAAAGAGCATTTTTGAAATGGAGACAACCCCTCAGAATTAACCAATGAATGGAAAGAAAAGATAAGGCAAAGGATTGAAACAAGCTGCTTCCTGAGAACTAAAAATGTCTTTTCATGTATCATATTGACTCAAATCTAATGCTCACCTTTTTTGGCTAGATTACATTGCCAAAAGTGAAATGCACATTACATGCAATGGCACATTAGAATCACATACATAAACCCACCTGGCCGACTGGCCTCATTAATGAGGTCTTCAATGAGGCCATTGGGAGGTTGAGGAGTTTGCCAGTCTTGGCTTGATAGACATGACTTCCCAAATGACTACCGGCCTCCCTGATGTGCTATGCCTGCGTTGTTCTGTGCATTACATTCAAGCGCAAATCCATTTTTTGTAATGTGCATCTACAAAATTGAGGTGTTAATTAAATTTGATGGCGCATTACACTTGAATAAATATGGCTTTAATTTCACAACCCAAACACTATATCAATAGTTCAGAAACATTTGTGTATGTGATTTAGCTATTATAATATTGCACATTAAACCAGTTATTCTCTATCTCTACAGTGCAGTCAAGGAAAACTGTTGTGTTCAAGGCATATCAGGTTTCAAAACTATAAAAGCACAGATTGTACACTAGCAGATATCCCAAGCCAAAGTAACTGACACCAACTGAGAAGGAGTTTCAGAGCAAACAGCTGTTTTCTACACTCTGGCATTTTGAGGGCAATAAACATTCTACTACATGATTACTTTGGGCTTTAAAGAAATTCTATACACTTCAATATTTTTAGCTGATACATCTTTTGTTTGATGGCATAGCTAAAAATAACCATGTCAGACAATCATAAGTCATCTAAACAGCTGTATTCTTCCAACAATGCTAATTGTTTATGCAAGTAGACCCTTTTCATCTTCACTACCTACGCATAAGACAAAGAGAACGCTAAACTGGTATGCAATACTGGAAATATGCTTTTGTTCAAGCCATAAAGTTCTACAATACTTTTTATAATTAAAACTCTACATATGCAAACCTCCTTCTGTCACAAGTTGCACTTTCAATAAATATGCATCTCAGGATTTTCTATAATGAGCTATTCAGGCTGGAATGTTAGTCAGCCCTCCAAAACTTAACCCTAACATTGCTGATAAAAGAACTCTGCATGATCAATGAGAAAAGTGTCCATCAATTCATGTTCAATTAATTATGCTGCAAATGGAAATCTTGGGTTTCTTCTGTGTGTATCTTGAGTCACAATCATTTACTGCACAAAAAGTGGAATGTACTGTTTCATCTGAAACGGAAGTCAGTTTCTTTGTTTCCCATTAAACGCAAAACTAAATGAAAAGCACATGACTTTGCTTAAGCCTTTATGGCTAGAAACTGCAGCTGGTTCACTATATTTTTAAAACGATAATAGCAACTAGATGAACATATTAAGCTGGATCTCTTTCAAATATATTCGTTGATTTATCATTTTGGATTATTTTTTACACTAAACTGCAGGCTGACAAAGCCTCCTTTACTCCACAGAAAGTGTATAAAGATTGATCATTTTTGTAGCACTATCATTTCATTCTGTTGAAAATATTCCATCACTTTTTCCTGACCATTTGGAATTAATGCACAGAAAGGAAAACTGAAGACAGCCAAAAAAGAAAGCTCAGTCAGCAAAAAGGTAGGTGAGATTTTAAAAGAAATTACCTTAATACATGGCAAATGTAAAGGCATTTTGATTATATAGTTCTTTGATCATATATTATGTAATTTTTTGTTTTTATTCCATCATATGTGTTTTTTCTTCTGTGTTATATATTTCAAAGCCTATTTTGCGAAACAAAATAGTTTTGAAGACAATGAAAAATAATCTTTTCACTCCAGGCTGGGCTCAGCCCTTTTCCATTTTAACTATTTCTTCACTGTACTTGGTAGATCTCAAACTATCTTTTGAAGCTATTTCTAACTGGCAGTGAAACTCAAAGAAAAAGCAATATTTAAAAACAATAGCATATTGTTCTTGATTTTTTTAGCACATTGTACATTACCAGCTTTTTAAAACTTTAGCAGCACTTAAAAAAAGAACACAAGGAGTTAAATAATATTTCCATGTTCCTTGAGCATTAGAAGCGCTTTGCCAACTAGTTTTCTAGGCTTTAAATATTGTTTTGACAGTTTGCTATTTTTTTTAATTTCCAGTCACAAAGAAATCATTTTCCTTAGTATTTTCAGCTCAATACATCCCTGATCTGGTGAAATGAAGACTTTGCAGAAGTTTTGTCTCCTCTTCTATTTTTTTATGCCTTTGGTGAAGCTAGCACCACCACCACCACAACAAAATATAGCTCCATTTTATGAAGATACAGTATTCAAGCAAGGTTATGAAGACATATTATTTAAGGAAGATTATGAAGAAAAGCCACAGGATGCAGTAAAATATAAGGTAGTTTATACGTTCTTATTTTACCTTTTTTTCATTATGCAAATGCCTGTATTAGCCATTTATGCATGTGTGTATGTTCAATGAAGTTTAAAAAATAAAAAATATCTAAAGTCATTCAAACTGTAAATAACTATAAAATTTGAGGTCTTTGGGTCCTATATCTTAATACAAAAGTCTTTGAGCTCATAGGAAGGTATAATATGAAGTGCCATCTGGGTCACAAACAGATTATATATTTGGATTAGCGTATCATCATTATCAATTACTATTACATTCCTAAATTATTTGCACACACTTTAATTGTCCAAGGATGTGCTGTAATATCATAGTGTTCATTCTGAGCTTGCAGAGAGAAAAGAACAGTGCTTTCCTTTGATCAAGCATGTACTGACAAATCTTGGAAATCTGTCATCATGAACTTATTTTGTGATCTTGCCAAACAATAGGAGCACCCCACCACACCCGAGTTGTAAGCCAAAACGATTTTGCATAGGCAATTATGATAAAAATAAGTTATACTATGGATCTGGGAATCTATGCAAAGGGCCAAATAGTGGATCTCCACACATTCCTAGACCTCCCTGTCTTTGATTAAACATGACGGTGGCCCCTCCCCTTAGATTGGAAATTGAACCTCAGATGGGGGAAGAGAGGCAGTGTCCTGGGGGTGTGGCTGTGGAAAGGGAGGAGATGTGGATTTCATAGAGCAGGCAAAGATCAGACCAATGCATGTGCCATTTTAATTCCTTTCCACCTCGTTCTACATAAATGGGAGGTCAGTGCACCTATAACATTTCTCGACCCTAAAATTTCTCTATAAAATAGCACTCTAGAATTATTTATATGATAAAAAGTACTACTGTAATGAACTGTTTCAAATATTCAGACTAAGACAAAGAACTATACAAACAATGAGTCTTGTTAGTACCCTACTTTATTAATTATTAGAATTAACACTATATTATATCATGAAGTATAATTCCCAGGCCACTAATATTTAGAATGCTACTGCTTAGAATGTAAAACAGACAAACACAAAGAAAATCTAAGATGCATCCACACCTCATAACAACATACAGAGCCAATATCAGAAAGAAATAATACGTTTCACAATTGTGAGGTTGAGGCAGGTCATATTCAATCACAAACAACAAAACAACATTCAAGCCCTCAAACTTTGAGCTCTCTGTAATAAGAATATATAGCATGTGAGAAAATGATATATATTTCCAGCAGTATTTTTAAATGTACCACTGTAATTACAGTAATGTAATTATTAAAAATATGTATTTAATGCATGAAGTTCTTAATTATTATTTCCTTAGGAGTAGCTGTTTGGTGCAAAGTGCAACTTTTCTCAAATCATGAACAACTCTGTTTTGTACTGGTAGATTTGATTTAATAAGACAATGATCTGCAGTTCACCATATTTTAAACATCATTTATATAATAGGATAGTTACTATTATAAAACTAAGCAAAAGTGGTTAAAAGGATTTAAAAAACAAAAACAAAACAAACCTTACATTTAGATAGATATATCATTCCTGATTTTAAAATTTAAAGACAATTATGAAATAATTTTCTCCCCATTCCCAAAACATGGGTAATGTCATCCTTTTTGGGGAGAAAAGACATGCGAAGATTTCTTGATGTACTCTGAAACAATAGCTGTAGATGGACACCAGTAAATTACAGAAATATCATTATCCATAATGGAGGGCACATATTTTGCATGCAAGAGGTCTCAGACTCAGTACTGAGAATGATGCCATGCAATTGGGCATATAAAAGTGAACATACTGTCCATAAAAAAGTCTGTTCCATTCCAAAACAATATGTACAAGTGAAAAAAGATGGTCTGCAAAATATCTTTCATCCCACTAACTGCCTCAGCTAAAATGCTGTTGGCAGGGGGAAAAATACAAGTATTTATGTGTTAAGCTGCTTAAGCACCAACAGTCATTTCCACATGGCCACAACTTCCTAAATGTGGTTGACTCCTTCCTAAAAAAAATCAGGATGGCAAACTATGGTTTGATCCTTGTTACAAGAAAAGTACAGACTACAATTCCTCAATGTAAACATCACAGCAAATTAATCTGAAACATCAGAAAAATTTGTATTAATCTGGGGAAACAAATTTGTTATTTTGTAATAGCTTCCATTTAATATTTATCGGTTGTCAGGGTCAAATGGCCCACGAGGGCTTACATCGTTCAGTAAGCACTTCTGATAGCTTATAAAATATTTTCACATGCTGTTTCAAACACTCCAAGAAACTTTTCAGACAATGTGCCTTTATTGGCTTGTAAAAGTTTTAGTACCACTTTTACTGAATATTAATCTGCTGTTACCGTATGTGTTTTTATAACTTCACATGTAAAAGGAAAACAATGATATAGTTGTTTTCAATGAAGATGTACTACAAATGCAAGGAGATGAAGATGGAACAGGAGAGAGCTCAACAAATTTTACAGGTACGTATTTATCATAATAAATTATGTAACAAAAGTATCCTCAAGTTATAAAACAGTATGTATATGTACACCGTTATTCAATTATTTTTGCTTGTCTGGAACAAATAATAATATTGTCTAAGTGGACAGGTTGTAAACCTGTCTTCCTCATCTCCTACTCTCAACTATACTCAGTACATCTCACCAGGGAAAGGACTGCTAACTTATGTAAGTATTTAAAGCGTTCAAGTTCACCCTTCAAGATTCTGAATATCAAGATACGGTAGAATATAAAATTATTATTATTATTATTATTATTATTATTATTATTATTATTGAGTTCAGTTTTTCAGTTAGAAATAATACCTGGGCTGCATGAGGAAGAAGGCGTAGCTATACCTTTCCATCCCTCTTGTAGTCAGGTTTTGGTGTTAGATGAAGGTTGAGAGGGGACATGATAGCCATGTGAGGTGTCTTCCAACTCTTAGATTCTTTCATTCTATGAGTCCATGATAAAGGTGTGGGTAAGGCAAAAAGAAGAAATGTTTATAATGGCAAAGTTGGATATTAATGTTCATTTGCTGTTATGTATCTGCAAGGCAATTCCAATTAATAGTGACCCTGTCATTGCATTTTCTTGGAAAGATTTATATAGGTTTTCCCCTAACCTCCCTCTGTGGAGGATGCAACATACAGCAACTGTTATTAATTGATGGTCTCCCTTACAAGTGTGAATGAGTCTCAACTCTATTTTGTTGTTGTTAATTCGTTCAGTTGCTTCTGACTCTTTATGACCTCATGGACCAGCCCATGCCAGAGCTCCCTGTCAGCCGTCACCACCCCCAGCTCCTTCAAGGTTCAAGCCAGTCACTTCAAGGATACCATCCATCCATCTTGCCCTTGGTCGGCCCCTCTTCCTTTTTCCTTCATTTCCCCAAAGTATATCCCAAAGAAAAAGAAAACCAAGAAGGCAAAATGGTTGTCTGCTGAGACACTGGAAGTAGCCAAAGAAAGGAGGAAAGCAAAAGGAAACAGGGATAAGGGGAGATATGCCCAGTTAAATGCGCAATTCCAGAGGTTAGCCAGAAGAGATAAGGAACTATTTTTAAATAAGCAATGCATGGAAGTGGAAGAAGACAACAGAATAGGAAGGACAAGAGACCTCTTCAGAAAATTAGAAACATTGGAGGTAAATTTCAGGCAAAAATTGGTATGATAAGAAACAAAGATGGCAGGGACCTAACAGAAGCTGAAGAGATCAAGAGAAGGTGGCGAGACTATACAGAAGATCTGTATAGGAAGGATAATAATATTGAGGATAGTTTTGACGGTGTGGTGAATGAATTAGAACCAGACATCCTGAGGAGTGAAGTTGAATGCTAACAACAAGGCAGCAGGAGACGACGGGATCCCAGCTGAACTGTTTAAAATCTTAAAAGATGATGCTGTCAAGGTGATGCATGCCATATGCCAGCAAATATGGAAAACACAAGAATGGCCATCAGACTGGAAAAAATCAACTTATATCCCCATACCAAAAGGGAAATGCGAAAGACTGCTCCAACTTCCGTACAGTGGCCCTTATTTCTCATGCCAGTAAGGTAATGCTCAAGATCCTGCAAGGAAGACTCCAGCAATACATGGAGCGAGAGTTGCCAGATGTTCAAGCTGGGTTTAGAAAAGGCAGAGGAACGAGAGACCAGATTGCCAATATCCGCTGGATAATGGAGAAAGGCAGGGAGTTTCAGAAAAACATCTACTTCTGCTTCATTGACTATTCTAAAGCCTTTGACTGTGTGGATCATAATAAATTGTGGCAAGTTCTTGGTGGGATGGGCATCCCAAGCCACCTTGTCTCTCTCCTGAGGAATCTGTACAAGGACCAAGTGGCAACAGTCAGAACTGACCACGGAACAACAGACTGGTTCAAGATTGGGAAAGGCGTACGGCAAGGCTGCATCCTCTCACCCAACCTTTTTAACTTGTATGCAGAACACATCATGCGATGTGCGGGGCTTGATGAATGCAAGGCTGGGGTGAAAATTTCTGGAAGAAACATTAACAACCTCAGATATGCAGATGACACCACTCTGATGCCCGAAAGCGAGGAGGAGCTGAGGAGCCTTCTAATCAAGGTGAAAGAAGAAAGCGCAAAAGCCGGGTTGCAGCTAAACATCAAAAAAACCAAGATTATGGCAACAAGAATGATTGACAACTGGAAAATTAAGGGAGAAAATGGTGGAGGCCGTGACAGACTTTGTATTTCTAGGGCAAAGATTACTGCAGATGCAGACTGTAGCCAGGAAATCAGAAGACGCTTACTTCTTGGGAGGAGAGCAATGTCCAGTCTCGATAAAATAGTGAAGAGTAGAGGACATCAGACTGGCAACAAAGATCCGCCTAGTCAAAGCCATGGTATTCCCTGTAGTCACCTACGGATGTGAGAGCTGGACCTTAGGGAAGGCTGAGCGAAGGAAGATCGATGCTTTTGAACTGTGGTGTTGGAGGAAAGTGCTGAGAGTGACTTGGACTGCGAGAAGATCCAACCAGTCCATCCTCCAGGAAATAAAGCCCGACTGCTCACTGGAGGGAAAGATACTAGAGACAAAGTTGAAGTACTTTGGCCACATCATGAGGAGACAGGAAAGCCTAGAGAAGACAATTATGCTGGGGAAAGTGGAAGGCAAAAGGAAGAGGGGCCGACCAAGGGCAAGATGGATGGATGGCATCCTTGAAGTGACTGGACTGACCTTGAGGGAGCTGGGGGGGTAACGGCCGACAGGGAGCTCTGGCGTGGGCTGGTCCATGAGGTCACGAAGAGTCGGAGACGACTGAACGAATGAACAACAACATTTGTCTTCTCTCAGCTTTCCTGTTTTCTCATTATGTGGCCAAAATACTCCATCCTTGTCTCTAATACCCTTCCCTCCAATGAGCAGTCGGCTTTATTTCCTGAAGTATGGACTGGTTGGATCTTCTGGCAGTCCAAGGCACTCTCAGAACTTTCCTCCAGCACCAAAGTTCAAAAGCATCTATCTTCCTTCGCTCAGCCTTCCCTATGGTCCAGCTCTCACATCCGTAGGTGACTATGGGGAATACAATTGCTTTTACTATGCGGATTTTTGTTGCCAGTGAGATGTCTCTACTCTTCACTATTTTATCGAGATTGGACATTGCTCTTTCCCCAAGAAGTAAGTATCTTCTGATTTCCTGGCTGCAGTCTGTGTCTGCAGTAATCTTTGCACCTAGAAATACAAAATCTGTCACTGCCTCCACGTTTTCTCCCTCTATTTGCCAGTCATCAATCATTCTTGTTGCCATAATTTTGGTTTTTTTGATGTTTAGCTGCAACCCAGCTTTTGCACTTTCTTCTTCCACCTTGATTAGAATGCTCCTCGGCTCCTCCTCGCTTTCGGCCATCAAAGTGGTATCATCTGCATATCTAAAGTTGTTAATGTTTCTTCCAGCAATTTTTACCCCAGCCTTGCATTCATCAAGCCTCACACATCGCACGATGTGTTCTGCATAAAAGTTGAATACGTTGGGTGAGAGTATACAACCCTGTCGTAGACCTTTCCCAAACTCGAACTAGTCTGTTGTTCCATGGTCAGTTCTTACTGTTGCTACTTGGACCTTATACAGATTCCTTGGGAGAGAGACACGGTGATTTGGTATGCCCATACCACCAAGAACTTGCCACAATTTATTATTATCCACACAGTTAAAGGCTTTGGAATAGTCAATGAAACAGAAATAGATGCTTTTCTGAAACTCCCTGCCTTTCTCCATTATCCAGCGGATATTGGCAATTTGGTCTCTTGTTCTTCTGCCTTTTTTTAAACCCAGCTCTACTTCGTTTCTACATTTTGGTAGCCTACAAACTTAAAAGAGCAGATGAAGCCAAACTAGCCAGTGTTACCTAGTAGGTTTAAAATGGGACCTTCCAAATTTAGGTTGTACATATAATCTTCTCTGACAGTAGATATTTGAACAGATAACACAGTTACCATATTTAGAGCAGAGATGGGAATAGTTTAATCTTCAACATATTGTTGGCCTGGAACTCCCACCAGCCCTAAGCCAGCATAAACTAGTGAGAAGTAATGGAAACCGTAGTCTAGTCATATTTGTGTCTGAACCAGGACCTGAAGTAGCACCAAGATAGACTAGATGCTGTTCCAAGCAAACAACAAGGAGGAAACCCAGCTGAAGGTTTTTATTTTCAGTCCAAAAACACCCTATCAGATTTTAGCCCTTTCTAGAAAATAAGAAACTTTAAAGGGGCAGGACTTCAGCTTGGTCTAGTGCTGTGGTTCTCAACCTGTGGGTCCCTGGATGTTTTGGCCTTCAACTCCCAGAAATCCTAACAGCTGGTAAACTGACTGGGATTTCTGAGAGTTGTACGCCAAAACACCTGGGGACCCACAGGTTGAGAACACTGGTCTAGCATCTCTTTGTTAATCCAAAAGCTCATGCTGAATGCACTGATGCTGTAGAATTTATAAAGCTCTAAGAAGTGCGTATGATGATCCAGTATTAGCAGCATATTTAGATATCCTTCAGGGACCCACAGATTTCTGGTTCCACAATAGTTGGAACCACTAGTTTCTCATCCATTGTTACTAGGACTGAGTATTCCCGCCTTCTATTTATTTACATTACCTTTCAATTTTCTACTTAAATAGAAAACAATTTTAATGCTTTCAGATTTGGCTACTTGTCTGCTGTGTGTTTGCTTAAGTGGTTCAGTATACTGTGAAGAAACAGAAACTGAAAACATCCCAGCTCTACCAAAGGAAACAGGTTACCTTTATGCACGGTTCAACAAAATAAAGAAAGTGAAAGTCTCTGACTTTGCTGATATTCGTAAGTATATGTTAAAATTATATTCATTAATTAGAAAATAGTGCTTTGGTAAAGTTTAAAAGTATTGTCGAAGGCTTTCATGTCCGGAATCACTGGGTTGTTGTAGGTTTTTTCGGGCTATATGGCCATGGTCTAGAGGCATTCTCTCCTGACGTTTCGCCTGCATCTATGGCAAGCATCCTCAGAGGTAGTGAGGTCTGTTGGAACTAGGCAAAGGGTTTATATATCTGTATTATTTATTTATTTATTTATTTGTGGTATTTGTATACCGCTTTTCTCAGCCCGAAGGCAACTCAAGGCATCTCAAGTACACATTAGCGGTATTTGTATACCACCTTTCTCAGCCCAAACGTGACTCAAGTACACATTAGCATCATTTGAGTACATACATTTTTAGTACTATATACTCTTAGAGAAGATAAATTATACCGTATTCTGAGAAACTTAATTGCCATTACCTGTTTTGGTAATTTGTTATCTTATGTCTTGAAGTTGATTCTGACTTATGTGATTTTATCATTGGGCTCTTTTGGCAAAATTTCTTTGCCATTGTTTTCCTCTTATACAAAGATAATAGTGTGGGTTTCCATGGCCGAGCATGGATTCAAACCATGCTCTCCTAGAGTACTAATCCAACATTACCAGTCTGTACAGGTTGAATAGCCTGTCTGAAATGCTTGGGACAAAAAGTGCTTTGGGTTTCCATTTCTTTCAGATTTGGAAATATTTGGATATACATAATGCAATATTTTGGACATGGGATCCAAGTCTAAACTCTAAACTCTTTTGTGTTCCTTACATATTTTATATACATAGCCTAAAGGTAATTTTATACATAATATTTTAATAATTTTGTTTATGAAACTAAGTTGGTATGCTCTGAAAGATCAGAAAACAAAGTGGTCACAGTTTTAGCCATCCAGGTGGATTATTTTGAGGCATATATCATACTTTAGAGTTTTGGATAAGGGACACCTAATTTGTACTAGAGATCAAATTATAAAAACACTCACAAAAAGAGCTATGTAGATTCTAATTATGGGTATCTTTCTTTATTAAAAACAAATACCTGTTTGTAAATTCTGTTGATATGAGCAATTTTTAAAAAAATTAATTTTTTATATAACTATATCCTACAATCAACAATACTGATCACCCTCTGTTTCTGCCTCCCTTAGGATAGGATGTTGTGTTAAATGCATGTATACAGAAAAACCCAAGAAATCCTTCAGAATTAATAGTGCATTCACTTGTATATTGATGAAAATATAACCAGGCAGTTGATTCAACAGTGGTGCTTTCTGCCCCAATAAACAGCATGGCATTACCTATGAATAATGTTCAGAAGGCAGAAAAGGAGGAGGAGGAAGGGGAGGAAGATATTATACTCTATTTCCCCCCAAGACAAAGACTCAAGGAAGTTCACAACTTAAAATGCAATATAATTAAAACATACTAAAAGTAAATGTTAACATTAAATTTAATTAGTGCAATTCAGTCAAAATACCACTCTAGATGGATGGACGGATGGATGGATGGACAGATAGACAAATAGCTGTTAAATTGTACAGTCTAAAACATTGCAGCACCCTCTAGCCCACTCTTGATACAATGTGTTTAGGCTTCCGATGGAAGGATAGCAGGGAAGGGGCAGAGATTTCCAGATACAGGGGACAGCCACTGAGAAGGCTCTCTCTCACATCATCAATATGAGCATACCCCTTAAAGAGTGAAATACATGCCAACCTTTTCTTGCACGTTGTTGTTATTCACACATAAGAATTCATACGGTTGAATTTTGACAGGACTGTAGTCTAAATCAGACCAGCAAAAAACACAAGTGCGCTTAGGGAAGCTCTATGTTATGTATATATACAACTAAGAAGAAAACCATGAAACTCACTCCCCACAAGTTTATAGTAGCCTGTAATTAGGTGCAGATATCTGTCAAGCTTGGACCTTGGTATTAAACAGTTCTGTTCCAGAACCAGAGCTTGTTCTATATCAGTGGTTCCCAACCTGTGGTCCACAAGAATTAAAAAATGGTTCATGGTCTCACCATTACTACACCATTGCAAGGAGAGTGACTGGTCTCGCGAAACCCTCTTGTAATGTCGAGGCTTATTAAATATGGTTTTCTATGGGCGAGCAGATGGTGACTACTGGATGGCATATGTTCTGTATCAGAAACTAGAGCTGATCTGGTTTATCCAATGCAATTTTCTGATTCAACATTCCAAATAACCAAACCAAATATAAAGTTGACCAAAAACTGATTCGTAACCCTTTTGGTACTACTGATGGAGAGTGGTCCCTGGTCAAAGTGGTCCCTGATCAAGTGGTGCCTGGTCAAAAAAGGTTGGGAACCACTGTTCTATATAGTTTTGTGAAATTATAGCCTTTAAGAGTTTTATATTGAAAGTCAGTGTTGCTGCTAGAAATGTGGAACATTCTGTCCGGTGTTGCTGAGATGCCGTCACAACTACATCTGGAATTGAGTACTGCTCAAGTCCAGCTCATTCTGCAGCATCACTTTCAATGGCATTTGGCAGTCAGATTCCTGCAAAGACCAATGAAGTTCAATATAATATTATTTCCTTTAAAGCCAGCCTGAGAAGAATTGATTTGACTGGAAACAGAATTCAAGAAATTGAAGATGGGGCCTTTGCAAAGCTTCTATTATTAGAAGAACTTTCACTTGCAGACAATGCGATTGTCAAGCTTCCAGTTTTGCCTCCCAAACTAACTTCACTGAATGCAAACAACAACAAAATTAAGAGCAGAGGAATTAAAGCAAATACCTTCAAGGTAACAGACTTCATTACAATACTATAAAATTCAATCCTCAGAATCGATGCTAATGATTTCAGTGAGAATTACGGCCCTTCCACACAGCCAAATAACCCAGAATATCAAGGCAGAATAATCCACAATATCAGAATAGGGTATCTGAATCCACACTGTCATATATCCCACTTCAAAGCAGATGTGAGATTTTATTCAGCTGTGTGGAAGGGGCCTCACTTGCAAATAACTTTGCTTTATATTTAAAACAAAAAGAAATCAGAACATTCACAGAGTAGTTGCCTTAATACACCAAATTTGCATAAAAGACATAGAACAAAAGGCAGTGTTTATCTGCTAAATTAAGTATGTTCAAACCAGGTATTCTGACTTCTCTGGCATCTGTCTTTGTTGATGAAGAATCAAACAAAACTCAGACATCACACTAAACAAAACCATGGAGACTCCAGGAGAGTAGAATTTTGAGACATTTCTTTTTAATGCAAATATCTTTAAGCACCCAGCAGATTGGTATTACCCAATGTGATCAAGTGCTGAAGGAAAACATTTTGTGGTGGTTTATCAATAAGTCCTGATTTCTTTTAAAATATTCTTAACAGAGGCTCTAACTACAAAGCTTTACATATATCTTTAAGCGACTGAGCTGAATTATGCCTATGAATAGATCCTACACTATTGCAATATTAAAAGTATTTCAATCTTGGTCAAAGGCTGGTGTGATAATTAATCAGCCTTTCTTTCTCTTCTCTCTCATCTTACAGAAGCTGAACAATCTGTCATATCTTTACTTAGCACATAATGCTCTGGAGGCTGTTCCTGCTAACTTGCCAGAGAGCCTACGTATTCTGCATCTTCAGGTCTCAAAATATTTTGTTGCTGTTGTACAAAGATGAACACTGCAAATAATTGCTTTTAAGATATTTCTTTGCGGGTTAAAAAAGGCTGTTTATTAATTCACTGTTATAGTTACCTTGGCATCAAGCAAGACTGCCCATTTAAAGTGAAAATGGACATGATGAAAGCACATTTAAGATTACCATAGTGCTTCACAGCATAGCTATATAAAGGGTCATAGAGGAAAACTGGTGCATATATTTAACAACAGCATGTAATTCTGTCCCCCACCTGGAAGATTTCAGTTAAGACAATTGAAAATGCCCAAATAATAATGTCATCGAATTACAATTATATTTATTTATTGCTCTGTTGTGGGGAAAACATAATAAAATAAAGAAATGCTGCGTAAAGCAGACTCACATAAAGGAAATATGGGAAACATGGTAAGTAAGAAATGTTTGTGCCTGGTAAATTACAGCTTATGAAAAAAAACCCAGGTTGATGAAGAAATTCCTGATAGTAGTATTTTAGAAGTCCGTGTCCTTCTAGGAGAGTGTTATATAGATCTTTAGGTAGAGCAACTGAAGAGTCAGATATTAGTAAGAGGAGTCTGTAAAAAGCATATCCTATATGCATTTACAGTAAAAAATTCTTTTAGTACTATACCAAAAATTTAATTAATATTTCAACAAAAAGTGAGCAAACAATCTGTTTATATGCATTGAGTATTCATATCTTTCACATTTGCTTTTTGTAGTACAACAACATAACTACTATCACAGCTGAAACCTTCTGCAAAGGGAATAATCAAACCCGCTACGTTCGTCAGCGCATGGATGAAATAAGAATGGAAGGCAACCCAGTCATCTTGGGAAAGTACCCCGATGCTTTTATGTGCTTGAGAATGTTGCCTATAGGTACATACTTTTAATTGCTAACAAAACAGAAAAAGTGTGAAAGCAAGGAGGTAAATATTACCATTGTATCACTGTTTAAGTATGTCTTTCCACGTTAATATCTTTCCACATATATACAAAATTTTAGCAGTTTAATGTATTTAGTTACACCTTCACTTGGTGAAAGTGCATTAATAAGCCATTCTGATTTACTAAGCCTGAGCTTTTTTTTCACTCAAACATAAAACCAGTAAGGTATTGTTATTCAAAAGAAGGCACTCCATTTTTCAATGAATAAAGATAACTTTTGTCTATTTCAAGAATGAAAGGGAATCAATGTAATTTGTCAAGTTGCAGGAAGCAAATTGCGCACACTATGGAAGAAATGGGACAGGATCTGCAGGAGGAGAATAAGGCTTTCTAACTAAAGTAAAGTAGCATTTCACACCGTAATTCTACAATGTGACACTTCTGTGATTGTTGAAAGGATGGACAAAACTGTGCTCCTATAGCCCTGGAAGGCACAGTTATACTAGGCATGAGATTATATGCTGTGAAAGGGGCTGTGGCAGTGGAGTTGGAATCATACACATAGAAATACAGTAAAATAATACTACATCATATAGGGACCAGGGAGGCCTATGCAAATTCTTCTCTTATGTGAAGAGAGATTATCCTCTCAGTTTTAAGGGCTTAAATGGTTATCCATCCTGCTTCAATTATCTTGCAAACAAATATAAAGCTGGACAGTATAGGCAACCAAAGTGTATTGTGTTTAATTTTGATTTGGTACTTTACTACTGGTATAAAGCTACACAATACATGCAAAGTATTATATTTCAACCTGATATTTTTGAATACATTAAAGGGATAGAATAAAAGTGAATTATAGTGATTAAAAGAGTTCAGAAATAATCAGCTTGTCTTACTGTGAGGAAGTCTTAGCTTAAATAATTAAAAACTACAGGATACTATAACGATATTAAGCAACGTAAGAAAGTCTAGAATCTTTCTCAGTTTTTCTTAAACAGATCAGACATATTACTCCATTGGTTCTTTTGCAAACTCTATAATGCTAAAATAATAGCAAACCACTAGAAACAAATTTATAATTGTAATTAGGAATTTTTATATACAAATGCTTAGGAAACTTCTGCAAACTGTTAGATTTCAAAATGCAGAATCAGTAAATACCAATAGCCACATTGTGAATTTAGAAGATGACGGGGTTTCAGCTGGAGGCTTCCTCAGAAGAACCTGTATCATTAAATTCTGATTTGCACTTACTCTTATTCTTTGAGCATTTTTGGTTATGATAGATATATTATTTTCTGATTTCATTATCCACTGGCATTGAGCAATATTTTACAGCTATCAAACTCTGCTGTACCCATGTTATTTTAACAATATTGTGTATTAGACCTCAGTTACATGGTGAATTTATATGATGTGAAACATTTAGAGATTTCTATTTGATTTTAGTTTGCACGTGTTTTCTATGTCTAGAACTCTTATGTGTTTAATAAAAAAAATCACCATAAAGAAAAAGTAGATTACACCTGTCTGCTCCTTTGTAAACATTTTGTCCTACATGGCTGACTAAAAGCCTTGCTCCTCACATTGTGTTCTTACACAAGTTCACAGGAACGGTTGGATAAAGAAAAGGCCAACAACTCTTCTATAAAAAGGTAAAGGTTTCCCCTTGACATTAAGTCTAGTCGTGTCCAACTCTGGGGGATGGTGCTCACCTCCATTTCTAAGCCAAAGAGTCGGCATTGTCCATAGATGCTCCAAGGTCATGTGGCTGGCATGACTGCATGGAGTGCCATTACCTTCCCGCCGGAGCAGTACCTATTGATCTACTCACACTTGCATGTTTTTGAATTGCTAGGTTGGCAGAAGCTGGGCCTAACAGCAGGAGCTCATCCTGCTCCCCAGATTCAAACCACCAACCTTTCAGTCAGCAAGTTCAGCAGCTCAGCAGCTTAGCCCGCTGCGCCACTGGGGACTTCTATACCATCTTCTTAATTTCTGCTGTGAAAACTCTTCCCAACTCCAATGACCATCATAGATCTCTCCTTCCTTCATTGTGCTTCATCAGACTGAGATTATAGATTCCATATGATTTTTATTGAATCATTAAGACAGATATGCTAAAACTCTCATAGAGATTGCTAGTGGTCATCCATAATTAATCACCGGAGAATAAAAAGGAGAACTGCACGCAGCACTTGACACTGCACACATCAAACACAACTTGAATTCCTGAACTCAAAATGTGCCATAGTATTATGTTGGCAGCAATATTAACCACACTTAGGTTTAACTGCGGTTGCCACTTAAACTGAGGACTAATATTACTGCTAGGCAATACTTGACTGGGATTAAAAATGGTTTGGGAATATGAGTCCAAAAATGGAGGGAATTCATGAATTGGAAACCCATTGTAGTAAAGCAAGTGGCACAATCCCCATCAGCTCAAATTCAAAGTCACACATAGAGGAATACACATCACATATAGTCACTACACTATTTGTATAAAAATAAAATTGATGCTGGAAGTTATAGAATTATTTTCTTCAGACCTTTTCTTGCAGCATACAGGCAAAGTTTGCCTATGCCTGCTCTAAAGAAGTCTGGGTAATAATGTAAAACTTTCCAAGATCAGAAAACAACAACTCCAGTTTGAAACAAGGAAACACCTTTTCTTTAATCATGTGCTAGTATGATTAATAGTTGAATAATTTGGAGATTATCACAAATCATCTTTCCATTGTAACTATTTAGTAGTACTTTTTATTGATTCGCCCATCGGCCGATCAAAACACTTGATAAACACATTTAACACATACACATAAAGCATACAACTCAAAGTACAACAAAAGTCATTGAAACTATTTGTTATATTGGGTAAAGTAAAACAAGCTTTCTTTCTACTTTAAAGGTACAGTGTGGTCTTTAAAACAAAGTACTGCTCAGAATAATATTTAAGTTTATTCTTCGCACATTTTTGAAGGAAAGTGAAAGCTTCCATCTCTAGCTAAGAGAATCATGAAGTGTTCTCATTCTGAATCACAGGCATCCATGAACCACAGAAAATGTTACAAGAATAAATGTTAATAAATGGTTCATGGCACATTTATACGTGTTTCTAATTAGCCTTAAAGTTACCAATGTATAGCCATTTATTCATATCTGGTATCCCAGACACATTTTTTAAAAATTCACAATAGTACCTTGAAATGAGTGAATGTGTGTGTCCGGTGTTCATACCATTCAGAGAAAGACCAAAGAGTCTTGAAGAACAGCAACAGATTCCCACTCTCTTCTATCCTAAAATGTAACATAATGCATGAAAATAAAACAATATATTATTATCTACAGATGCATGGAAAACCTTTTTCTAGACTAATATTGTAGGATATCTGGCGCAAACAGTTTGGCTAAAGCGGTTCAAATCTATTAAACAGGCTATACTTTATATATCATATCATATATGTGAGTAATAAAATGCAGACTTATTTGTCAGAAACAATATAGAGTACCTCAATCTTTCATTATTTTGTGTTTTAAAATAATACCCAATACCTTAGACAACTTGAATATATATTAAGAACATGCCTAGCTATGTTAGCACAAAAACTAAAATGTACACTATAAAGCAGGCATGGGCAAACTGTGGCCTCCAGGTGTTTTGAACTTCAACTCCCTATCGGCTGTTAGGAAAAGTTTTCCTATGCCTGCTTTAAAGTCCAATCTAAAAATCTCCTCCACCTGCACAGGATTGTATATCCTCAGGAACCATCTCAGGAAACAGGTAGGATATAAATGTAATAAATAAATGCTTAAAAATAAAATGTATTACCAACAATTGTTCTACTTGGCTCATCATTAATATTTTTTGTATTTTTTTTAAAAAACCATAATCCTTACAAGATATTTGAGAGGCACAATTATGAGAGAATTGGGGGGGGGGGGGGTTAAATGCCATGGCATTTAAAATGAGAAGTCAAGGGTGATGGGTATGGCAGTGGGAGTCTAAATTTGCTAAATTAGGATCTATGCAATAAAACTGGGAGGGGTGGGGTCAAAAAGACAATGCTGGAAATTTTCATTGGATCTATAATAGATATGAATAAGAAAAAGTGGCGAAGGGAGGCATCTACTTTAAGAAAGGAAACTATCAATACCTACTATATGAGAAAGGTAATTGTAATGTCTATTATTAAAGTCAAAATTGGGATTGGAGAAAGAGAAGTACGGGAGCAGGGAACAAGTTAAAATGTGAAAAGGGAGAGAGAGAAACCTGTCATTGCAGCTAAAATTATGAGCAAAGATTTCTTTTCTAGTCTCTCACTGCTTACAGATATTGTTCAGAGCTAACATTTTTCTTTCATAAGATATACAAGATCTTCAGAATTTAAATCCTCTAGGAAATTTATAATGTATTGTCTAAAATTTTCGTGGCCGGGATTACTGGGTTGTTGTTCCAAAATGTTTCAGTAACATGGCCATACAGCCCGGAAAACTCATAACAACCCAAATTTATAGTGCTTTGCCTTCCGAACTAACATCCAACAAAGCTCCTATATTTTTTGACATAATTTTCCCAGTCTACAAGAATGCCTGCACATTGTGGAAACTGCTGGCAAAGCAATGAGAAATGAAAAAAGCCAACAGATATTATGTCATTTTTTCCCCTTTGCTTCCAACTGCTTGCTACAGCTGCAGCTGGAGCTTACTAAAATACCATCTTTGAGAGAGCTGATGGGATTGGGTGTACATATAGCAAGAGAATTCCATACGTACTTTGCGTATGCACAAAGAAAAAAGGGCTCTTGAGGCATTTGTTACAGAAAGTTTAAGAACACAGAAAAAGGAAGACTATTAACTAGATTTACTAATAAAGTAATCTAAAAATGGGGTAGAATGGCTTTACTAGATTCTCTTCTGGTGTACATTACAAAAAGTAATCACTTTCATTTAACAATGAAACAATGAATGAAAAGGGGGGGGAAAACAGTGCCATTTAACTACATGCAACTGTAGCAAAATACTGCATGCTCCCATTCAAAAAGGATTCCTCCAGAATCTCTTGAGGGAGAATAGAGGCCCTCATGGAGGGGCTTCTTGTTGGCACATACAATTAAACCACATGTGTTCAAAATCTTCTTCCCTCTTCAATCCCTTGACTCGCTTTAAGTTATAGGTGAGTTTCTTGGCCAGTGCTTTTGACCAGATTCTGCCCAACCAAGACCGCATGGGCAAATTGTTTAGTATATTCCAGTGTGGGGATATTTCCATATGTGCCGCCAAAAGCAGTAAAAATAGTAACTTCCTCTGTTGCAAGTTTGCATTTTTGCACTGAAGATGGATAAAACGAATAAAGCACTACACCACTCAACATTTTGATTTGTGACATTAATATTTAACTTTCAAAAAAAATTTAACATCTCCTCTAACACAATTAGTTGCACACGTATGAGAAGTATAAGCACATGTGAAACAGAAATATAGAAGACATTTTACAATCAGAAATTTTGCCCATCATTGTCAAACTACTTTAGTTTCTCTTACACTACTTCATCAATTCAAAATCCAGTTTCTGCCTCCTGCAGGATTCTGGTGTTTGTAGTTTAGGGAGGAGCCTTTAACAGCCTCACTAAACTACAAACCACAGAATTCGGCAGAAGGCAGAAACCGGATTTTAAGTTGATTTGTTCTCTAGTGTGATGAAGTAGTAAATACTTAGAAAAAGGATTCCACATTCTTCCCAGGGCACATTTACATTGTCTGCATATGCCTGAGCTGATCAAAGTGGGGTACTGTGAATCAGGGCCTTTTCTTTGCATTAAAACAAATTAGAAAGCCTCAATTAATCAAGATCATGGAGTTGGAAGAGACCTGGTGGGCCATCCAGTCCAACCCCCTGCCAAGAAGCGGAAAAATCGCATTCAAAGCGCCTCCTACAGTTGGCCATCCAGACATTGCTTAAAAGCCTCCAAAGAAGGAGCCTCTACTACACTCCAGGGCAGAGAGTTCCACTGCTGAACAGCTCTCAGTTAGGAGGTTCTTCTTAATGTTCAGATGGAATCTCCTTTCCAGTAGTTTAAAGCCATTGCTCTGTGTCCTAGTTGCCTGGGCAGCAGAAAACAAGCCTGCTCCCTCCTCCCTATGCTTTCCCCTCAAATATTTATACATGGTTATCATGTTTCCTCTCAGCCTTATCTTCTGCAGGCTAAACATGCCCAGCTCTTTAAGCTCCTCCTCACAGGGCTTGTCCTCTAGATCCTTGCTATTTCCACATTTGAACTGGGAAATAACATAGATTATACGACCCCCATGAGTTCAGGCAAAACATGGAAAGGCATGTGCTGCCACACAAGTTAGCATTGTGTATTAGTGAAACCATGTGCTACTTCATACCACCCAAACACCCACTGGATATTTATGAGAAAGCTTTCTCCAGATATACACATATATATGTGCAGGCCTCCTATAGTAAAAGAAAAGCCACAAGACCTTCCAAATATTTAATGAAAACACACACACATATATATATATCTGCTCGACATATTATTTTTTTGTTATTGGCTTTGGAACAGACTGAAATATTAATCAATTCAAACCAGGATTGAATATTCTGGATTGTTTGGTAGCCACCATTTCTTGGTCCAGGTGAAGCAGAAAATGAGGGTTAATTTGGGATGTTCTGACATGATTTGTTATAGATCAGAGAGGAGCAAAGGGGCTACAAGTGTTTGGGGGAAATTCTTGTTCATATCTTGGCTTATTAAACAGAGAAATGGTCACCTAAAGTGGCCCATTAACTCAGATTCTGAGATACTACTGTATATCTTTAGCAAAGGAGGGCATGAGTTAACAGAGAAAAAGTCAATTTGGCTGTAAAAAATATCACATGCTTAAATAGAAGGAAACCCTGACAGGGAATCTGGCACCTACATGTTGGAAAGATGTTGGACAGCTGTGTACTGCGTGGATTTCAGGGTTATTTATTTTATTGTAAAATAGCCACCTTTGCAGCCAAACACAGTTCCAAAGTGTGAGACACTTAAATAAAAACCAGAACAGTCTCATTTATATGCATGTGTGTCAGGACGAAAAGCTAACATTTGGGTTGCTGTGAGTTTTCCAGGCTGTATGGCCATGTTCCAGAACCATTCTCTCCTGACGTTTCACCCACATCTATGGCAGGCATCCTCAGAGGTTGTGAGGTCAGTTGGAAACTATGCAAGTGTAGTTTACATATCTGTGGAATGTCCAGGGTGGGAGAAAGAACTCTTCTCTGCTTGAGGCAACTGTGAATGTTGAAGTTGGCCACATTGATTATTTATTTATTTATTTATTTATTTATTTATTTATTTACTGCATTTGTTGACCGCCGTTCTCAGCCCTAGGGCGACTCACGGCGGTGTACAACATATAAAAACAGTTTACAATAGGCAATATCACAACAAAATCAACATAACTATCAAAAATACAATTACACTAAATCATCCGCGCCGTCTCATCGTAGAATCATAAACCAAACTCGTTAGCACTGAATGGCCTTGTGGTTTCAAAGCCTGGCTGATTGCTGCCTGGGGGATCTTTTGTTGGGAGGTGTTAGCTGGCCTGATTGATTATTGTCTGCAATTCCCCTGCTTTTTAAGTGTTGCTCTTTATTTACTGTCCTGATTTTAGAGTTTGTAAATACTGGTAGCCAGCTAATCTTTGATTTATCTTTGATTTGTTTTGAATGGCGTGGGAAATGTCTTTCCAGGAGGACAATTTTTATTTCAACAATCCAAAGCTCTACTCTAGTGTACGAATATCTTAGTATACAAATATATAGAAAACCACAGAGGATGGGGTAAAGCACAAAACCTCTCAATGCTGCCCTTCCTTTGCAAAGGCACACAAAGAATCACACATACATTTTGCAATAAAAATTATATGGAAAAAACAAAAACAAAATATCAACTATCAAAAATCTGGATTGACTTATCCATGAGTAAATGTGAGTAATGTACCTTATTGCTTATATATAAAAAAGGAACTTTCCCTTCTCTAAGTAGAATGGCAAAGACTTAGTCAATCTCTAAAGAACCTAAAAGAACACTTCTGGCCTTCTTGAAAGCCTGGGTGGGGAAAATGGCAGTGACATCCAGGAGCATCTGACCCCTGAGGTGGCATTGGTGCTTTCCATTTTCTGCAGAATGGCCCTTCGCTTATCACATCAAAATCAACAATTTTGGCCTCCAAAATCACCCTCAATTTATACTTGAGGTTGACTTATACAAGAGTATGTACAGTAATTTTCTGTCTCTCAATATTGAAGCGGATGAAATTTTACTGAGAAACCTAAAGGCATTGAAGGCACAGGGGAGGAGGAATTGGAGGACTTGAAAGAAAGAATGAAATTCTTTGCTAGTCAAAACAGCAGCACAGCAGGACATAAAAGTAGGAGAAAGTTCAATAAAAGGACTTTAGGACCTGAAGAAAAGGGAGGGGAAGTGCAGGAAGGAGGGAAGAAAGGGGGTAATTGTTGTGCATAACAGGCACCAGAGAAGGCCAAAGAAGAGATAAGTGTGAATGGGGGAAAGGTTTGCCCACACGTGTTTTAGAAAGTTTAAGAACCTCTGCTATAAAAGGGCAGAGTTGCATTTCAGTTGGGTGGCACTATTTTTCTGTTGCACACCCAGTACCTTTGTTTGGAACAAAATTAAATCTATTCCATTTTAAATCTCCTTGTCCCTTTGCTTGACAATCAATTTGGTATCTCTCCAGTCGCTACATCCCACAAGGTAGCAATTATTGCTAATTGCACCAGTAGCTTTAAAGCAAACTGTTTACAACTCCACAAATCTCATCCCACAGTAAACCTGAAATGGTTTCTCCTGTAAAACATTCTGTAACACTTACTCTTGAGCTAACACTTCTCCAGGATCCTTTCTCCATTCTCTTCTAGGCACCTTCCCTCTTTCACCTAGCCTTCCCTCTTTCACCTAGCCTTCCCTTATAGCAGGCGTGGGCAAACTTCAGCCCTCAGGGGATTTTGGACTTCAACTCCCACAATTCCTAACAGCAGGTAGGCTGTTGGGAATTGTGGGAGTTGAACTCCAAAACCCCTGGAGAGACAAAGTCTGCCCATGGCTGCCTTATAGGTATTTCTGTATCATCATCTATGTGGATATCCTGGTGCTTCTACATCTCCACTTCTTTCCCCCTGTTTTATCGTAGGTATGATGCCGAACATGACCCTCCCAAATAAAAGGTAGCTTATAATCAGGGAATTCAAAGTTTTGCCAAGGACACCAGGCTGATACTAGACAAAAACATATCCTACGAAAACACCCACATATATTCTTTCCACATCTCAAGTCCTTTTTCTCTTTCTTTTCTGTCTTTTCCACTCCATAATTACTAGCCCATAATCCCCATGTAGGAACCTAAGGTTTTTCCAGAGACTCCATGGTCCCGCATGTTAACAATGTGGGGGAGAAGGGCTTTCCTTCCTGCAAATGCAGTCTCAACCCAGTGCCCCATGGTACCCACCGACTACAGGAAGCCCCTTATGTCAGCCCCTTGACCCAGGCCAGCATCAGGGCATTCTGGTTGTTTTTATGAATTGGACTCCTTTTTTCCTGAATGAACCTTCTGTTTTATGGATGGACTGTTTTATGGATAAGCTCAGTGCTTATATGGACTTTATATCAACTTTTATGAACTTTGGGTGACTTGCACAGATCTTCCCCAGTCCCCATATGAACTCTGTATATGCCCCATATTCCCAATTATTGAATATATATACATTTATATAAAAATACTGAGCAGAATGACCTCCTCATGAACTATGCCCAGCAACTCAAGGCCCAGGTATTGCAAGATTTCCTGGGCCAATAATCCCTAAACAAAGGACTTGGCAAGAAACCTATCAACATAGACAATAAGAAAATAGCCCCTTTTCCTGGACTTCGGAGGGTCTTTTGTCACCAGACCACCTAGGGCAAGGGGGCCCATAGACATGGCAAATATTCAACACAAAGGGCACTTCCCCGACTGCGAGGACCAGGGGATTGTCACCGCTTCTCCCCACTATGCAATTTCCCCATCCCGAGGAAGAAATCTCAAATCTCATCAGCAAGTAAATATTGCAGGACTTTGTGACAATGGAACTTCCTCTTCAGGGCCAGACAGAGATGTTGTTTCAATAGCCAGGATCAAGGCTGGGAGGCTTAAGCTATCACCTTGCTCGCTTATCATACAGGCGCGGAAAGGGCCATTCATAATCCTATCATATATTCATTTCATTCATTGTTTTCCCTTCTGCCCACCTCCTCTCTGCTCACTGGCTGAGTGGCTGAAGCAGGGCTTGCGCTCTGATTGGAAGAGGTGCATCCTTTCCTAGCTGCTCCTCCCGGCTCGCTGGCATCACAGCCAATCACAGCGAAGCCGGCTCAGGGGGTGAGCACAGGGAAATATGAATGGCAAATTATATATTCTGTATTTTTCTGCCTAAAAACATGGCAGTTTCTTCAGCAAATTAAGGCAGCCATCATCCTTTTCCAGCTGGAATAGAAATAAAACCACAGTGGCTTCTGCTTCAACTTGGTGAGATTTATTCTGGAATATTAGCTTCTTCTTCTCACCAGGCTAAACCCACAGTAGCTTGGATCTTGCTATCCACAGCCACTCTAAACTGCCCGACAACCAGCATTGTTAAAGACATACACAAAAATTATTTTTTTAATAGTTGCCACGTTAGTTCAACTATACAGCTGAACCATCTTGCAGTATACTATTCAATAAAATCTAAAATAACAGCCATATTTTGCAGTGTCTCTACTTACAGTCAGTGCTCTTTGTGTTGAAGAAAGGCTATAATAAAGCTTTTTTACAAGAAAAAAGCCACTGTGGACCATGTTTCCTCTAATTATTTGGATCACTGACAAAAATGCTATCTATAAAAAGAACTGGGATGGAAGAGACTACTTCAAATGTGTATGGTTGCATTGGCAGAAGTTTTTATTTTGGCAAATAGTAAACCACTAAGCTACTGGTAGTAAAGTATAGAATAATGTAGAATAGAAAGAGGCACATTATAGATGAAAGCAGGACTAAGAGATTACAGCCAAACACAAAAGTAAAATTGGTGTTTTTCTTTGTCAGAAGAAAGAGTAAGCCCTTATTTAAATGTGAAATCCTTGATTACCTTGATGTATCCTAGTCACTTAGGATGCCCTAGCTCTCTTACTTCTGCTAAAACAAGGGGAAAATGTTGCATAGATATTTTGCCCTGCCCTCCTTTAGGTATTTTCTATAGTAAGAAAAAAGATGGCAGCAGTAATGGAATAATGTGGAAGAATTGCATCTGTACATAGTTGGCGACACACCAAAAGCTGGCTAATCAGGCCTGCCATAAATTTGGGGAACCTTTGATTAATTCTATGCACTCAATAAAATGCCATCCAACAATTACCTACAAAGCCCTGGTAAAATTTAATAAATGCGGCAAGGAAACTGCACATTAAAACCCTTACCACTATCTAATTATATCATTCTATTGATGGAAACAGTTCTATTTTGTAGACCACAAGGAATGTGCCTACAATGTAGAATTAATGCAGTTTGACACCGCTTTTACTGCAATGACCCTTATGCCATGGCATTCTGAGAGTTGTAGTTTGGTGAGGTGACAGGACTCTTATGTAGAGAAGGCTAAAGATGTTGTAAAACTACAACTCTCGTGTTTCCAAAGTGTTGATCCATGGCAGTTAAAGTGGTGTCAAACTGTCTACAATACAGTCTAGATGCACTCTAGGAAGATGGTGGTTTCTCTAAAAAATCTGCCCTGAGTGACAGACAAAACTTGGAAATAATTCTTTCCTGGTATAGGTTCTAGAGAGGGATGTGGCAGGAAAAGAAGGGGGATGTTCTTTTTAAATACCAGAAGTATAATAACACAATGCTAAATTTTAGTCTGAGAGCACATCTAAGGGCAAATAGACACAGCTGGATAATGAGTTTTCAACAGCCCCACAGAAGCTCTCCAACTATGATTTCCCAATCCTTCGTAAGATATAAAATGGTATGGCCATGTATCACTTCACTGTGGATGAAAACAAATCTCTTCCATCAAAAGTCTGAGAGCCCTTCCACACAGCCAGAATATCAAAAAGGAAAAGCCCACAATATCTGCTTTGAACTGGGTTATCTGAGTCCACACATAGATAATGTGGGATTTTCTGCCTTGATATTCCAGGATATAGGGCAGTATGGAAGGGCCCTAGGTTGAGAGGCAAGAAGGACTTTTTCAAAAAACAATACGAAATCAAAGATGCTATTCCTCTCACAAACCTAGGGCTTGAAAGAGAAGGAAGACAAGTGTTGGGTTTTTTTCTTTACTGTGCTTTGGCTGAAATCAGAAAGTATATGGATTAAAATAAAGCCAAAAAGGATGTTCTTTAGATTGCATAATGAAGACACGAATGAGACTCTATCCTTAGGAGAGGATCTTGGGAAATAGGAATAGTTACTGACAATGATAAAGAATGGGTAAGGCATGCAACATTTTATGGAAAATGTAACTGATTGCACCTGCCCAATAAAATGACATCCAGCACTTTCCTTACTATATCACTTACGTACAACAACAACAACAACAAGCTTTATTTATATCTCACCCCCTCTCCCCGAAGGGACTCGGGGCAGCTTGCAGCAGAACAAAGAAATACAGTAAATGATATAACACAGACAATAATCACATTTCCCTTAATAAAAACAAAAAGCACAATAGTATAAACATAAATAGCCAGTTTAAAAGACTATTTTGCCCTCTAAAAACTAGATATATAAATGCTGTTTAAAACCAGCCAATCCTATGATCAAGGTATCCAGCATTATAAATTATAGTTCTAATAACTATAGTTCTAGTAACAAAGTAGTACATGGGATGATGCTACCTCTTAAAAATTAATAACTTAAAATATTTCTGAAACTATTTCTGAACATATGCATAAAAAAGCTAAAAAGGACATTAGCAATTCACATTTTATTCTCAGAGAGCATTAATTTGATAATATAGTTGACCTACTGGTAATCATAAAACTTTATCTGGCAGCAAATAGTGCATATGTTAGCCCCACATGTTAATAAAAAAAAAATCTTACCTGGATACAAATTTACTTAAATCAGAATATTCCTCAGATTTGATTACAATGTTAAGATCTGTAACTGTGGCTGAAATGGTTTTCTTATTCTGAAAAAGACATAATATAATTAGACAATTTGGAAGTAAAAATAGTATATAGAAATTGGTCAAATAACCAATGAATAATAAACCACCATATGTGTCAAACACTACAGAAACTTCAAGTGAGGGCTGAGATCTGCATGTTACCAAACAACTGTTCAATTCGCAACAAAAAAAAATTATAGAAAACAAAGCACTTCTTGCAAAATGTAATTAGATATCCACCTTCCTTTGACCTGAGATCTTTACAAGGCCAATTTATACGCAGGACCTGAGTGCATCATCATTCAAGCCACACTGAATTACCATAACCGTCAGGACAATTTAGTCGCATGGAAAGGAATACTCCAAATATTTCACAGTATCCAGCAAGGAGAAAGAAAAGACAATGAGATACCAGCTATCAGGTGCAAAGCTGAACCAATTCATTCTTAAAATGTAGAAGTGCTGGGATAATGCACACATACTAAGTTCATGCATCAATCCTCCCCTTCAAACACTTAGTAATCCCTGGGCCATGTATGCCATGGGGAACTCTGCATTACTTTCAGCTCTCTTCTGCATCAAGGAAAATTTCACAAAAGTTCTGAAGGCATAGTCCTGTTGCTGACATAAAACAGGCTAAGAGTGAAGTATTCTCCTTTACTTCTGCTTTACAGTTGTATGTTTCTACTGTTATGTAATCTTCACATAACCTGCTTTAAACTATGTCTGGAATACACAGACGAGACAGTGTGAATGGCTCAGGACTAGAATCTAATTACAGTCGGCCCTCCACATTTGCGGGTTTAACTTTTGTGTATTTGATTAATATGGTCTCCCTAGGAAAGGCCGAGGAAAGTTAATAACCAAGTCACACTAGAGGACACAGATATTACTAAAAAAGTGTACTCTCTGGTTTTAAAAAGTGGCTTTTTTTTGTTTTCATACAAAAGTGCAATGTTGTAAGTAAACTTAATCTATTGAATTTAAAATTTAATAGTTATATAATGGTGCCATCTTGTGTTTGAAAGAAGTTCCAGTTCCCCAGCTGCTGAGGAATGATAATTTTGAAACTTCTATTTTTAAAGCAGCTCACAATTTTTTAAATTTGCAAGAATTATTTTACCCAGCTATAGCAAGTGTACTAGCTGTAAATTCTCTTTACAGAACTCCTCAGGAAACTTAGCTACAGTGATTAATAGCTTATTTGTCTCCTGATTACATTACTTTAAAATATTTTAAATTGGAATCTCCTAGAAGAGAGTTTGGAAATTACTGCTAAATAATGTAGCAAGGAGGAGGCACCGGAGGGGTTAAGAAATTAATAATGCCTTTTCTTGGCTGAAGGGAGGGAAACAACCACCTTCAAGGCAACTCTAATACCCAATTGAATCTAAAGTGCATCCTAATTTTGGCGACATAATTTAGCTAAAAAAGATGAATGTTACACTTGAGTAAATATGGTAAAAAAAATTAAAGCCATGTTTATTCCATGTTGATAGCATTACAAAATAGGCACATCAGTGTAGCATTCACACAGCTGCAATAACATTTTATTACAATCTGTTCACCCTTATTGTATCATCTGTAAGGAAGTTATTGAAACTAGGTATATGTATTTGAACTGTTTAACTATTTGGTTGGCAACAGTAGCTGAAAACTAGAGATAACTGGTTGTATCCATTGTGGCGTTGCCAAGGAGACCAGGCAGGAGAGAGTGGAAAGTGGGCGGAGCCTAGCGAGAGAAATCTATCTGCATTTTGAAAAGAAGCAGTTAGTTAGGGTTTGGAGTTCGGAGTGAGCAGTTGAGAGAGGAGAGAGGGAAGTGGAGAAGCAGTGTGTGTGAACAGCCAGAGGTTTCTTCAATCTAGGAAGGTTGAAGGGGGAAACCTGATTAGTTTCATTAGTCAGAGAAGACTAAGGGAAGCTTGTTTAGATCACTAGTTAGGAAAGAACTAGAGATCTAAGGTTTGATCAAGAAAGGATCAAACAGGAAGGCTATTCATCTCAGGAAACATTATTTAAGAAAGTGCTTCACTACAGTAAAAGTCAAATACAAGTTGTGTTATACAGAAGTGTGATCTGTATTGCAAACCAAGTTACATTTGAAGTTCTACAAATTCTCTAAGTTATTTCCAAGTTTATCAACAGCCTGCAACCATACGCTTTGTTCAAAATAAACTTATTAACTTTTGTTTGAAGACAGTGTCATCTCTATATATCTGCGTCTGGGAACCAGTTCTCATCGGCATTACCTCCCGTTGGTGGCAGTTACCTGAATTACATCTATAATTATCCACACCTTTTATAAATTAGCAAACCTTAGGAGATTTAAACAGTAGTAGGTGGAATACCTTCGCAGATTGGCCAGTGTTGCTAACCACAGTAAAACAAATCCCGTTGCAAATTGGCGAAGTGGAACACACTATTACAAATTGGTGGCATTCGGTGGCATTAGAACGGTCATCCTGTTACAAATTGGTGTCAGCGAAGTGGGTTACTTTTACACATCTCTTCCTCTGTGATATCACCAATAGACATATAGGTAAGAACTTAGTGCTTACCTATATGTCTATTGCTGATATCACAGAGGAAGAGATGATACAAACTAGGCCATATTTAAACACATATAGAAAATCAGTATTTCCCTTTATGAACCAGTTTGAGCACTAAGATCGGCCGGGGAGATCCTGCTCTCAGTCCCGCCACCTTTGAAGGTGCGATTGGTGGAGACAAGAGACAGGGCCTTCTTGATGTTGGCCCCTCAGCTGTGGAACTCTCCAGCAAGATTTGATTGTCCCCCTCCCTCCTGGTGTTCAGAAAAAAGCTTAAAACCTGGCTATGCAAGCAGACATTCAGCAAGTGATAGTATTAATGAAACAGCTAAACGATAACCATGGTGCAATGTTTAATATGTTTTATGTTCATGTTATGATGTTTCTTTGTATGATTTTCTAATGGTTTTAATTCATATTTATATGTTATTGATTTAGTTATGCTACGTATTGCTTTTATATGTATGTTCGGCATTGAATTTTTGCCATTTTGCCATGTTGTACACTGTTCTGAGTCCCCCCAGGGGTGAGAACAGTGGTATAGAAATGCAATAAACAAAATAAATAAATCAGCAAAAGAATAGATTCCTAGTTAAAATGAAATAATTGTACAAAGGAAAAAAACACAAAGTATCCTTATTCAAGAATACAGTTGCTGTTGTGTGGTTAGTTTAACTTTTTAAAAAAGAAAATGAAAAGAGAAACAAATACTGCCATCTAGCGACTTTTTACTTACTTTCCTCTAGCTCATTCTTTTCTCCCAGTATCAGCTGTAAACGCACACCCACATTTATCTGAGAATAATTCCCATTTAACTCAGCTGGACTTACAGTATTTATGCATGTGTGTGTCTACACATGCCTTCAAGTCACTTCTCAATTTATGGCAACCCCACAAATTTTATAGGATTTTCTTAGGTAAAAGTTTTCCCCTGACATTAAGTCCAGTTGTGTCCTCCTCTGGGGTGTGGTGCTCATCTCCATTTCTAAGCCGAAGAGCCGGCGTTGTCCATAGACACCTCCAAGGTCATGTGGACGGCATGACTGCATGGAGCACCGTTACTTAGGATTTTCTTAGGCAAAAGAATATTCAGAGGTGGTTTCTCGAATACTCTAAAAAACATTCCACAGCACTTGGTATAAGATTGCATCAAGAGAAATCATATTCGAAGTTTCTCCAAATGAATAAACAGATTAAATACTTCAAGATGGTTTGATCGTAATTATATTAGCCTTTCTTTTCCTTCAACAGTTTCCATTTATTAATGTGAATTTAGTCTTTGCTTTTTCATGTTTTTAACTTTTATTCTTAAGTGTTAACCTCTGGATATTTATTTACTTATTTTGGATCTGGGAGCTTCTGAAATTGAAGAGTAAAGCAAAATGGGTAAAGAAAAATCTTTTGTTCATAACATACATTCACAAACTGGTAATGATCAAGAAACATTTGTTTTCCTGGCAAAGAAACCTTTTTAAATATTGTTCAGTCTTCTGGGGAAAAATATTAATGCAACTATCAAAATGACTCTAATGACAGGTACAAATGGTTTTAGAAGAAAAACAAAAAATAAAATAGTCTTCATGATATTTACTAATAAATAGTACTTCATTTCAACAGACATTACCTCATTTTCTTCTAGAAGTTGAAATTCCATTTGAAAGGGCACTGACTGACAGTTTCCTGATAATTGATACTTATGTGTAGCTTTAGTTCCATCTGCAATGCAAGGCAACATAAAATGAAAATTTTAAATAGAGCTACTCTGTGTTAGTCGGAGAGAAAACATGCATGGAATATTTTTTTAAAGCTAACCTTATCTAATGGTGCTTCCAGATAGCTCTTAAACCTGGGCTTTCCCTGAGGGGGTGTCTAGATCCTACCCCAAAGCCCCCCAAAACAACCCTTTCAATCTTAAAAAAACTTACCTGGCTGCCATTATGGTCCTCCTTGCATCCTTCTGGTGTGAGTAAATGACATGCCAGGGGATGGAGGGGGGAGAAAATTCCCCCTCCCCAGGAATTGGAGGGAGGGGTTGGACACTTATCCTTGAGTAATCCTGGGACTACCCGATAGTGAGTCCCCACAGGCCCAATACCCCATTAGACCTGGGCCTTACAAGAAGGCCTGGATCTAATGGGGTATTCATTAATTTGGAACAATCGAGGTTTTTCCAAATTAATTAGTTTTTACCGGGGACATTGTTTGGATGCCTCTGGTAAAACCCAGACAGGTCCCGAGATGTGAGCTTGTCTGGATGGGCCCTAACATATTATTCTTATCCAATCATCAAGTCACTAATTATCTAAGAACATAATACCATATTCCCACATCAAATATGTCTGTAGTTCTGATGAACTCATTTCAAATTGAAAATTGCAGATTATGGGCGATGGAAAAAGCAATGGAAACCTTATGAGTCTTATTGGTATGATGATCAATAAAGATATATGCTTGCTTTCCTCCACATATTTCCTGAAATAATATATGAAGCATTATGATTTTTTTAAAGGTGGTGCTTTTTCAAAGATGACACAAAGTAAGATGAACAGACAGAATTTAAAAAGTGTAGCAAATTGAAATATATTTTAAAAAACACTGAATTTAGGCTTAACACAAACAAAAGGGAGCATTTTTATGCAATGTGTAATTAATGCATAGAATTAATTCCCTTTAGAAAAAAATATCTAAAGTAGCTTTTAGATTTTAAAAGATAGACAAAAGTAATGCGAGATAACAACACTGATCAACTACAGTAATTGCAATGGAATATTACTGTATTTAATTTTTAAAATTCTCAATTCCCTTCCCTCAGCTGGAAAATCAGCTGAGGTTTTAATCAGTCGAGTGTACCATGTAATTCCTAAATTGCTATTAACCAGACCTATAGTTGAATAAAAGAAATCAATTTCATACAGTACTATTATAAAATTTGTTTTTCTGGTAAAGAAATTAATTAAGTAATTAATTAAAACTTGGCTCTGGAAATTGGCATTCGACGAGTGAGTCAATATTCTGTGATATGATGATGAATGACGAACAACGATTTTATTGTGACGACTGACCATTGTAATTATTTGACTGCATTTTGCTATTTTAATGTTTTTAGTTTAATATGTAATATGTTTTTAATGACTGTTTGTGATATTACTGTTGGAAACCGGCCTGAGTCCCTCGACAGAGGTGAGAAGACCGGTATACAAAACTGCTAAATAAATAAATAAATAAATAACTTCCATATACCATAGTAAGGCTTATCCAGAATTTGTCTAGTTCTTGACAGCACAGTGAAGTGCAGTAAATCTAAAGTGGAAACAAAAACTTAGTTTCTTGTGGCTGCACCAGAGACAAGACCCGAAGGCTCACTGTATGTTGTCTTTATGACACAAAGTGCCAATGGCCAAGGATAAACCTCCATCTCGTGCCCTGTTTGCAAGCCTTTCAAGAACATCCATCAAATTGTTTTAAATACAGAATCGTAGATGAAAAAAATCTATGATATGATCCAACCAAAGATATGCTTACTTTTCTCCACAGGCTTCCTGGTATAATGTGTGAAGCAAATGCCTGTAAGTTTCATTATGAAGGAGAGGTCAGCTTCTAACAACTCATTCTGAGTTTTCAAATCCGGAGAAGATTGATATTGCCTTAGTTCTTCTTGAGATGTTCTTTTAAGTGATTTCCTGCAACAGATGAACTCCATCAATGTCATCAAGAACATGAAAAATCTATTTCCATCTCTAACGTATTAGCAAAGGAACTAGTCAAAGAAGAACAAACAAAAGAAAAATTACAGCGGAACCTTAAGAATGCAAAAAAATGATCACAAGTGATTTACATAACTTGAAAGTAGATGATGACGACATCAACATTGTCAGACTTCTTATATCTCGATTAAATTATAAATGAAAATTGAGACTGCAGTCAGAAAGGACATGGAAGACAGGTACCTCACAACCTCTGAAGATGCTTGCCACAGATGCAGGTGAAACGTCAAGAGAGAATGCTTCTAGAATATGGCCATACAGCCCAAAAAACCTACAACAACCCAGTGATTCCGGCCATGAAAGCCTTCAACAATACAATTTTATGGTCCATGATTTATTGGGCTAAGAAAAAGTTAAATAGCCTCTGTCTATGTCTGTATATGTTGTATGTCAAAATTGGCATTGCATGTTTGCCATATATGTGTACACTGTAATCCGCCCTGAGTCCCCTGCGGGGTGAGAAGGGCGGAATATAAATGCTGTAAATAAATAAATAAGAATGAGCTGTATGCACAGAGACTCTTTTCTCAGCCTCTCCTCCACACCTTAAGTATCCGACTTCTAGCACCATTACTCCAGCCTGCTATGCCAGTTTCCTGCAATGTTGTAGCTGAGGTCCCTTCCACACAGCCCTATATCCCAGAATATCAAGGAAGAAAATCCCACATTATCTGAGTGTAGACTCAAATAACCCAGTTATGGGATTTTCTACCTTAATATTCTAGGATATAGGGCTGTGTGGAAGGGCCCCGAGAAACAACTTGAAAAACATACAATAAATCAGGACATCCTAGGGCAGATTTACCCTGACCATTTAATGCAGTTCAAAGCTAGTTCAAACTGCAGCAGTCAAACAACAAGCTCCCACAAAAGTGTGCAAAACATGCATTTGTGTAGTTTTCCTATATATTTGCACAGCAAAACTACTTTCTTCAATACCAACTTGCAACTACATATGGTTCAGTGAAGATGGGGTTCTAGTTTCATATTTTGTTGTCTCATCCTTGTTTGCTGAGAACCTTGGGCTGCAATAGCTTTACATGCTGAAGCTATGAGTTAGTGCATGTGAGAGTGAAGAAACATGAGGACACAGAGTTGGTTGGTGCAATTGATTCAACAGAGATTGTTGTAACTGAACTAGGCCAGTATGAACAATTTCTTATTTTTCAGCCACAAATCAAATGTATAAACAGTTTTAATCACAACAAAAAAGTATAAGATTCTTTTTTTAAAAACTCTTTAAAATGTATTTGTTGCAATAAGATACTTTCTGTTCCAAAACATCAGCTTCCCAACAATTGTATACTCTGACTTCCAATAAAACAATTTGTTTATAGATTTGAGAGACAGGAACTATGCCATATATGAAGATCAGTGGAGTTTAGTGGTTGGATTTGGACTTAACAATGACTCAAATTCACTAAACTAGTGGTTCTCAACCTGTGGGTCTCCAGGTGTTTTGGCCTACAACTCCCAGAAATCCCAGTCACTTTACCAGCTGTTAGGATTTCTGGGAGTTGAAGACCAAAACATCTGGGGACCCACAGGTTGAGAACCACTGCAAACCATGGAAACTCAAGCTGATTTTAGGTAAATTGCATTCTCTCACTCTTAGGCCCCTTCCACACAGCTGAATAGAATCTCACATTATCTGCTTTGAACTGGAATATAAGTCAGTGTGGACTCAGATAACTCAGTTCAAAGCAGATATTGTGGGATTTTGGGATTTTCTGCTTGATATTCTGGGCTATACAGCTGCATGGAAGGGCCCTTAAAAGAAAGCAATGGCAAGTTCCCTCTATAGAAATCCTGCAAAGAACCCTTTAGGGTCACCTTAACTTAAAAGCTACTTGAAGGCCACAACAAACAAATCCATTACATGGGAGATGGGCAGTTGACTGCATTGGGGTTTCCAAACCCGTACTCTTAAGATGTGACATCAGTAACTCGTGGATGCTGGTGACTACAACAGATACTGATATATATTGACTCCCTACATAAACATACGTGTATACTGAACAAAGTCAACTCATTGGCTCCAGCAAGTCTAACCACAACCTTTGAAGGACTACAGCCAAGTAACAAAAAACTCCTGAAATTACATACATTACTTTAATTATGTCCCCATCAGAATAAGCCATTGACGCATGTTGACAGCATTCATATTCTTCTGTTAACATTTTAATTTCTTCCTCCAAAGATTGGATTTCATCTTTATAAGCCTGAACATCATTGTTATTCATTTCTCAAACACCAAAATTCCTAGAAAAAAGATAGCAAAGATAAAAAATTAAATAACATTTTCTAATGATGACTTTTAATTTGAACTTGAAATCTATGATACTATATCTGTGTGTGTGAATCATATCATATCTATCTATCTATATCTGTGGCTGGATGGCTGTTTGTCAGAAGGACTTTGATTATGTTTTCTTGCCCTGATGAAGGGAGTTGGGTTGGATGGCCTTAAGTATTTTCCGTTGCTCATGGGGGTTCTGTGTGGGAAGTTTGCCCTGATTCTGTCCTTTGTGGGGTTCAGAATCCTCTTTGATTGTAGGTGAACTGTGAATCCCAGTGACTACAAGTCCCAAATGTCAAGGTCTATTCCCCCAAACTTCATCTATGTTCATATTGGGCGTATTGAGTGCTTGTGCCAAGTTTGGTCCAGATCCATCATTATTTGAGTCCACAGTGCTCTCTGGATGTAGGTGAACTACAACTCCCAAACTCAAGGTCAATGCTCACCAAACCCTTCTCGGGTTTTCTATTGGTCGTGGGAGTCCTGTATGCCCTGGTTGGTTCAATTCTATCATGCTCTTTGATTGTAGGTGAACTATAAATCCCAGCAACTACAACTCCCAAATGACAAAATCGTTTTTTTGAGGGAAGGACATACATTGGGTTGTTAGGTGTATGGTGTATGCGAATTTGGTGTCAATTCGTCCAGTGGTTTATGAGTTATGTTAATCCCACAAACGAACATTACATTTTCATTTATATAGATTATTATTAATGTACTCCCCTATTTCTTAACAAAGATGCTAATCTAAATAAATGTAGATTCTGCTAATAATAATATTAATAATAATAGTAATTCATTCACTTTAACTAGACAGAAGCGACATTACAATCAAAGAAAAGCACTGTAGAAACCATGAGGTTTATCTCAATCAAGTACAAAATGTTTAGATGCTCACTAGATCACTAGGTTACCCCTTTATCACTCAGTCTTCTATCTGGAAAGGGCTTGAAATTCAATGTCTTACTCAAATTCCCTCTTCCAGCAAACTGAAAATTGGCAAAGCCCTGCTGGCTGTTGTTGTTCAGTACCACAGGAAAAGAAGCTGAGGCAACTGAGTACAGCACATGCTCAGAGGCACTCTTGCCAACGCTGCTTACTTTATTAGCAGGAGATAGCTGCTCGACACCCCTCTCTCTGTGGGAAGAAAACGGCCCAGAACAGCCTCCCTCTTTCTCTGAATTACCCGCCAAAGGAAGCCGCCCACGGCGCTACTATTACGAACCCTCTGCGGGGGTGTAAGGAAAAGAGAGGCATCGCAGCCCTCGTGAAACAAATATTATTTAGCATTCATTAAACTCTTTTTTCATGTGGTTTCACATTGCCGCGAACAGAGAGGCTCTCGTGGAAGGGGAAAACCAAAACATCGTCTGCCTCCCTATCTCCGACTCCCCCCCTTCCCTCGCCTCAGATGGGTCAGTCCGTCAATGTTTTTGGCCTACAATTCCCAGAAATCCTAACAGCTGGTAAACTGGCTGAGATTTCTGGGAGTTGTAGGCCAAAAACATCTGGGGACCCAAGGTTGAGAAGCACTAACTGAACAGTGGCCTCTGCTACAACATAGAGATAGGAATTATAGAGAGTAGTTTATATATTAAACTTCCGAATCTTTTTGCTTTTTCGCTTCCTCGCCTCAGATGGTTCAGTCCGTCAATTCTCCAACATAGTATAACTGAACAGTGGCCTCTGCTACAACATAGAGATAGGATTAATTAGAGAGGAGTTTGCATATTAAACTTCCGGATTGTTTACATTTTGTGTCAAAACCAGGCCTAAAGTGTTAGAAAGCTCTCCTTTCCTCTCCTGCAGCGGGGCATTACTTATGCATGCGCAGAATCTGCCTCCCGCTTTCTGCTCTTTCCCTCCTTCTGCCAGAAGGGGGCGGTTCCTTAATTGCGCGGAACCTTCGTGCAGGAGCAAGAGTTCCGGGAGGGAACGGCGCTGTGCCGGACCAACTCCACGCTTTCGTGAATGCAGAAGGAGTCTTCGAGGCAGCGGCTGTTCTGCGGGCCACAGGCGACCCATTTCCCAGTAAGGACACTCCTTGCCTCTCGCGTGTCTGATCCCGGCCCTGTTATAAAGTAACAAGACCCATCCAGTATGCTAAGATTTCAGGAAATCCGGGGGAGCGTCTACACGGTAGCAGGAATTCAGTTTGACACCTCTTTTACTGCCATGGCTCAATGCAGTGGAATCCTGGGAGCTGTAGTTTGGTGAGGCCTCAGCTCACTTGTGCAGAAAAGGCCAGAGACCTTGGGAAGCTACAACCCTCATGTGTATAGCATTGAGCCAAGACAGTTTGAAATGGGGTCAAACTGCATTAATTGCACAGTGTAGATAAGGCATGGGGCAACTTGGACCCTCCAGGTGTTTTGGAGTTTAACTCTCATAATTCCTAGCAGCCTCAGGCCCTTTCCGTTAATAGTATGATAGCTGGGTCTGGAAGCTCCGAGCGTTACAGAGATGTCACATCGCTCCTTCAGGAACGCTGTTTGCGCAGGAGAGACTTAGCTAATGTAAGCTAGGCTGGAGACAGATAATATAGAAGGAATGTAAGAGTTCTTTAATGGTGAAACCCTAACCTTTACCCTGACCCTGAGCCATACCGTAAGCCGAAGCCTAAACCCTAACCCTAAATCTTACCCTAACCTAAACCATTATCCTAACCCAAACCCTAACCTTACGCTAACCCAAACCGTAAACCTTACCCAAATCCTAACCCTTACGCTAACCCAAACCGTAAACCTTACCCTAACCCTTATGCTAACCCAAACCCTAAACCTTACCCTACCCCTTACCCTAATCCAAAACGTAAACCTTACTCTGACCCTTATGCTAACCCAAACCGTAAACCTTACCCTAACCCATACCCTAACCCTTACTCTAACCGTAACCCTTACACTAACCCTTACTCTAAACCATACCCTAACCCCCTAGCCCTAACCCAAACCCTAAACCTTACCCATACCCTAAACCATACCCTAACCGTAACCCCTAGCCCTAACTCAAACCCTAAACCTTGCCCTAATCCTTACCCTAAGCGTCCCCTCCTTTTTATCCTTCCTTTGCTCTCCCCGCTCTCACTCCGCCCCTTCTCTTCCCTTATTCACAGGCGCCTTCGTGGCACCTCCGTAATTCTCGGAGCTTCCGGGCCCAGCTATCATACTATCACCCCCTTTCCTTTTCCCCCTCAGCCGCTTAAGCCCAAGTTGGCCATACCTGGTGTAGATGCATCCATACTTGTGGAAAGCTTTAATTGTTTTGCTTTCCCCCCCTAAAATGTTTCATTGTTGTTTGTCTTTTCTGTAGTTCTTGAGCATTCCATACCCTTTAGTATTTTTTGTTATTCGATCTCAAAAGTTTTCTTTGCACTCATGAGGATTAGTGATTCATTCCGATAACATAAAAGTAGTGTTTTTAAAGGAACAATATATGAGCAGGACAAAGTTACCTTTACATTTATTGACTATCTTCTAACTGGTTGGTTAAATTTCATTCAGCTTGAAATATTTTGAATAATTTTGCTACTGAGCAACTTATTTTACAGGAAAGCTGTGATTAAAAGGAACCATGGTTGACCACGACACTTGCTGAGATTTTGAACATGGAGCAGAGCCCAAACATGAAGCGACTGTATGTTGGAGGACTTGGCCATACAGTTTCAGAAGTTGAGCTGCAGGAGAGATTTGGAAAGTTTGGAAATGTTACAGAGACGGAAATTCTGACCCGAAAAGATGAACAAGGTAATATCTTCAAATATCTCCAAGAGCAGTCACGCTTGGTTTGCAATACTTTGAGTTTCATTTGTAGAGAGAAAATCATTATCATCATCATAACAGCTTCCAATACTATATAGGAGTCAGACTCATTGATCATCCTGAGATTTATTTATGAGTGAATAGGCATACAATTATAGTTAAGTATCAATTTTATAACCTTGTTTTTACTATGATTTTTTAAACCATATTTTCTGGAGTAACCAGTTTATTTTTCTTGAACAGGAAACCCTACAAAAACATTTGCATATATCAACATCACGATTTCAGAAAAAGAACTTAAAAAATGTAAGTACGGTGACCACTGGTGTCCTTCTTCTGTATCCAGATCTATTATTAAAATTGTCCCTTAAATAATGAAACTAAAGAGGTTGAAATCAGTTGATGGACCCAAAGATGACTAAAGGTTATAATAGCTTTAACATAAAGGTAACTATGTTTGGCCATTTCTAATCTATGTTGTAAAGCTTGATTTCAGGGCAAATCACTTCAAAAATTCTAATTACCTGTGTTTCCTTTTGCTAATAATAGAACAGTATCATGATCCTTCAATTGCTATTGAAGAACCTTGACACAAACCCTTTAATAAAATGACTTTTCATATTCCTCTTATCTGTGTATCATTTCACTTACAGAAATCTATTCTTTTGGAATGTCTGACTTCACATATTCTTTCTGTCAATGTCAATTTTCCAATGTTCTCAAATTTTCTCTGTCTTTAAAAAAAAATTCCTTTGACTGGGCTTTATTTGAATTCCAAGCAAGCTTTTTCTTCTTCTTTTCCATTCACTTTCTCCATAGTTGCCAGCATGACTGAACTAGTTTTTGAACCCAAGCTTCAAATTTAAGCAGTCTTATCCATTTAGACCAGTGGTTCCCAACTTTTTTTAACCAGGGACCACTTTGACCAAGCATCACTCTCCAACATTAGTATCAAAAGGGTTATGAATCAGTTTTTGGTGGACATTAGATTCAGTTTGGTTATTTGGGGTGCTGATTCAGAAAATTGCATTGGATAGACCCCATTAGATCTAGTTTCTGATACAGAACATGTGGTCCAGTAGTTGCCATCTGCTCACCCACAGAAAATCATATTTAATAAGCTTTGGCACTATAAGAGTGTTTGCAAGACCAGTCCCTCTCATTGTGAAGGTGTAGGAACAGTGAGACCTTGGGCTATATTTTAATTCTTGCAGACCACTGGTGGTCCATGGACCACAGGTTGGGAAACACTGATTTAGACCAATCCACTCTTGTTGTTCTCTTGGTAACCTGAAATACTTTTGAAGTTGTTCTGAATAATGATTTAAGCAATGTATAAGTTAACAATTCTGTTTCTATTTACAATTTTGTTTTGAAGGTATATCTGTGCTAAATAAGACAAAGTGGAAGGGAGGAACACTACAAATAGAAATAGCCAAAGAGAGTTTTTTGCACAGGTAATGATTGGGATGTTTTAAACAGCTTTTTGGGAAAGCTACTGGATGCTCCAGGGCGGCAGCCATGGTACTAACAGGAGCAGGGCGCTGGGAGCACACAACTCCTCTGCTGCACCAGCTCCACTGGCTGCCGATATGCTACCGGGCTCAATTCAAAGTGCTGGTTTTGGCCTTTAAAGCCCTAAACGGTTCTGGCCCAACTTATCTATCCGAACGTATCTCAGCCTATCAGCCCACCAGGACCCTAAGATCTTCTGGAGAGTCCCTGCTCTCTATCCCACCGGCTTCCCAAGTGTGGCTGGTGGGAACGAGAGACAGGGCCTTTTCTGTGGTGGCCCCTCGGCTTTGGAACACCCTCCCTATAGAGATACGATCAGCCTCTTCGCTGATGGTGTTTCGGAAGAGATTAAAAACATGGTTGTGTAAACAAGCATTCGGTTAGTTTGTTATCACCGAATTTTATGGACTAAGGACTGGTTAATTATGGATGACGAATTCTGGACTGTGATTTTAGTGACGAGATACATGGTATTATTATTGGTGGCCCAATAATTTGTATTGTCTATGTGTTGTTGTTTTAAATTGTATATTGTTTTTAATTGTTGTAAACCGCAATGAGTCGCCAACTTAGGCTGAGATATTAGCGGTATACAAGTGTATTAAATAAATAAAATAAATTTGATTTTTTTTTTAAAAAATAGCATGCAAATAAACAATCTTGAAATCTTTGCAAATGAAGTAACAATTTGAATATATATCTTGAAATATATTTTCCCGTTGATGCTGATGTGATGGCAGAGGAAGTACACTGTTTTATGATCATTAATTTGTGGGGAGGGCCAAGATTTGCAAGATGTAAACATGATAAAACAGGAATAGGCAGAGTTCAAGCATGTATGATCTTTTTTTTTTTTACTTGCACTTCAAGCTAGAATAAGGTAAAAAGAAGGAAAAGAGAATTAAAGAGCAAAATCCCATTTTTTATTTGCAGTGATTACTTAGCTTTCCCATGCAGAAATCCACTTTTGGTTTTCTTTATTTTAGAGATATGGGTAACTTTATCCTTAACAGTATTGCTGTTGCTAGCAACTGAGGTTAAGAAGGCCTTGTTGCACTATTACAGAAATCAAGCAGTTGATTCAGATCTTCTGCCCACCCTTATTGTAAGACGTTTACAGTATCTAAAGTCAGGAGAGTCAGACTGCAAATAACAAGGGTTTTTGTTCAATTAAATCTGTTAATTTTCAATTATTTGCTGTTTTGCAGATTAGCACGGGAGCGCCAAGAAGCAAATGAAAAGAAAGAAAAGCCATATGAAAACTCCATGGTAAATGTGCTAGAATCCATGAAGAAATCTGGAGTTGTAGATTTCAGCGTGAAAGCAGTACCAGGAACAGAAGTACCAAACCATAAGGTATGGAGAATTTATGGGAAAGAAATGATCTAACATGATTCCAGAATCAAATTCATACCAGGAAAAGTTATTAATTCAAATCTGCTATGTTGTTGCATTGTGTTTTCCAGAACTATGGCAATCTCTGTTTTTGCTTTAACAGGACTGGGTTGTTAGCAAATTTGGGAGAGTCTTGCCTATCCTTCATCTGAAAAATCAACACAAAAAGAAAATATCCTTTTCTACAAGTTGTTAAATAATATTATGCATACCTAGCTCTTAATATTACCTTCAGTGTGAAATTACAACTGTACTGTACCATTGACATTCTAGAATGAAATAATTAACATGGGACCAGGCAACTGAGTTTAGTTTATAAAAATGAAGACTTATGAGATTACGACAAATACATCACCTCAAAAATGTTCTCATCTAAATAGTTTCATTGAAATATTCTTTCGCTTTATGCATTATTTTCAATATAATACATATGTAGTTTTTTCGTATTTGTGTTCACAAGCACTTGGGAAATTGACTTTTTGAGGCCATGTTAACAAGGAATTGGTTTCCTGAATTCTAGCAATAAATGGCAATGTGACTGTCTCTCTGGGTGCATCTATACTGTCGAAATAATGCAGTTTGGCACCACCTAAACTCCCAAGGGCTCAGTGTTATAGAATCCTGGGAATTGTGGTTTGATGAGGCACCAGCAATCTTTGGCAGAGAAGATTAAACATTTGCAAAACTCCCAGGATTCCATAACATTGAGCCATATCAGTTAAAGCGGTGTCAAATTCAATCAATTTGGAATTGTAGATTCACCCTGTCTGTGTATACATCTATTTCCTCTGTTTATACAAACATGGAATATCCTTTCTATCAACTTAAGCCACATCATAAAATAGGATGATCTTTGTGTACTTAGCAAAAACCAAGCCTTATAGCATTACAGGAAATGTGCTATATGTGAGTTTTGCTGTACTATGTGGATAACTAACACCATTATTGCATTGCTATCCGAATCTTAATTTACTACATAATGTAGCTATTTTCCTTTTAGAATGCAACAAGGTGCTACATGTAAATTATAAGGTGCTAGGTGTGGAATTCTCTTATTTTCTAATAATACTTATCTTGTTCTTTAATATTTCTGAATTCTGACAAAAAGAAGAGTGGTTGATTTTTCCTTAATTTAAGTAATAACATAATCAAATATGACCCTTCCAAATATTGCCACAATCTAAAAAAACTGGATCAAGATCACTGTGAAACAGTTCCTATTTCTCAACTCACTTGGCATTTGGAGGAAGGAGATGAAAGCATCAGTAAAAAACGGCAAGGACAGTTTCCTGTAATTAATAAACCACCTAAGAAGAAAATGAGAGTACAGAATAGTGACAGTTTAAATAACACATCATTGAACTCATCCTGTCAGTTTTCATCAGAAGCAACATCCACAGTTCCAACAAAACTAGTTGAGAACCACACATCAAATGTCAGAAAGCAAAGCAAAGAACAAACCAGGAGTCAAAAGCCTACAACTGGCTTGACACCTCATTGGAATACAAACAGTCTATTTGAAAGCGATGTTGATTCTGAAGAAGAAATCAGAGCCATAATAGCAAGAGAAAGGGAAATACACAATATAAACACTGATGTTGAACCCGAAGATAACATGGAAATTGTCGGAGACAACTTTGAGTTGAAATATGCCACTCATTGGTCTTTACAGAGAACATGTGATTCTAAGAAAACATGCACTGAAACAATGAAGACTGCTGAAAACAAATCTGATTATGACTCTGATGACACAGATGAAATTATAGCAGTGAATAAAATGCCAAACAAAAAGGAGAAGAGTGGAACTCCAAAGACACCTAAGGTGGTGAAACAGGGAAAGGTTAAAGGACCTAAAGGTGGTATATTGATAAATAATGCTACAGGTTCTGAATCTTTTGGCTTAAAGACATTAATATCGGATAAGTCAAAAGTAGGGAAAAGATCTGTGCCTGGAAAAATGTCAGATTCCAAGGCAGATGCTGAAAAGAACAGCATCTCCAGTCAATGCACCTCAGAGGATGATGGCAGTTCTTTGCATCTTGACACAAGTGGGTCTGAAGGGGATGATGATTATGAAACCATGACTCAGAACTGTTATCGACTAGATCTTACATTAGAAGAGTTAGGAAGATTAGCTGCTGAACATTCGGAGGGTACAGAGGAAGATGCTGAAAGTAACCAAAGTGCCAATCAATGCAAAACCAACATTTTTCAAAATAATAGCATCAGAAGTGTTCCAAAGGCATCCACTTCCTCTCCAAAACAGTGTATTTGTCCTGAAGACATTGTTTCCGCTTTATTAGAAGAAGAGAATTCGGATGAAGATAATCGAAAAAAGAAAAAGGCCAGTGTGAAAGTTCAGCCTTTTAGGGGGATAGGGTCACTAAGTGGGGAGCTGACAAAGGGCAAGTTAGAGATACATGAAAGCCAAGCTAGGAAAGCTTCTGGCCCTCATGATGTGGAAACTCTCCAAAGTATTTCAAAATCTTTGGGTAAAAAGCTAAATGGCAAATCGGTCTCTTTTAAAAAAACTGACTCTAAACAGATAAACCATCAGGTAATCTCTGGGGTCAGTCCTGACAACAGCACATCTAGTGCAGCCAACAGTGAGACAGAAAGTAGTGATGAGACGTCTGCATCTGAGAGTGAAGACTTAGGAAGCCTGAAAGCTGCTTCAGAGGAAAGAATTAAAGTTGATAGAATTAAAGATTCCTGTCTTGCACTGGATAAGAACTTAAACAAAAGTGAAGAAATATTTCTAGACTCTACCAAAGGTACAAGCAAGCTGGGTGAAACAGAGAAACGTCTGCAGGATAACGCAAAAAGATTGACGGCGCTGCAGGAGAAGAAAAAGGAATGGGAGATGCAGAAGAAACTGATTCAAGGAGCTCTAACCAATCTGGTAGTTTTACTTTGTATACTTACAGAGATTTTTTTGTACTGATTGTGCTGGTAAAAGCTCTCAGTGGGTAAAATATCGCCAGCATGAAACATGTTTCAGAGAGCAATATATAAATATCTTTAGCAAGTGAATTATTTAGTAATTCCTGCAGGTCATCATGAAACACTGAATTTCAGAGAGGGGAGGGAGTCAGAATAACAACAACAGTAATACAGGTTGAGAGACACAGCAGCAAGAGAGCCAACAGTGCAATCCTCTACTTGTTTAGTGGGAAACAAATCACACTATTTGTTGGGGCTCATTCTGCTCATGTTGGATTTCTGTAGATTTTGGTATTTGCTTATTTACAAAGTTGTGTTTTGTTTCCCCAATGGATGTTGTCATTTGATATTTTTAACTATTATCTAATTTTGCAGGAAATCCAGTCAACAAATAAAAAGAAACACATAGTATTTGATTCAGATAGTGAAAATGAAGCAGACATACAAGAAGACAGTAAAGAAGGATCTTCAGGAAATGCGGGGAAAGTGAGTACATTCCAAGATGTTGCCCTATAGTCTTAACCACGTGTTCTGTCCAGCCTACTGTGCAAAGTAAAATCCCATATATTTGTCTGTCTTTTAAAAAAAAACCCCGAAAAACTTCTATTACTTTTATAAACTTAAGATACTGAATTTTCAAAGATGCACAAACAGGGTAAATATAACAAAGGAAAGGGGAATTTTTTAACAAACTTAACAGTTAAGGAGAAGTCATGTAAAAAAAAACAAGCTACTAAAAGACAACAGAAAAAGACAAAAGAAAAAATCCTCCATTTTCTGGGATATTCTTACAAATGTCATTGTTGTTACTGTCTTATCAAACTCACAGCTATCCTAGACAGAGATTGCAAAGTTGGTTATGAATGCCAGGATGAAAACAGTGTGCTTGGTAAAACATTTGAATTGATTGCTTTAAAACTGGAATGAATTGCTTTAACTGACTACATTCCTATGTGTATTTGCTGCTATGCCTAAGGAATTCACCACCAAGACCTCTGGAAAGTTGTTTGAGAGCAGTGAAGATGAATCAGATGCATCAGATGAAGATGGGGACAGGTTCGAAATCAAACCTCAGTTTGAGGGTAAAGCTGGTGAGAAGGTTAGTTAATTGACTTAATGTGTTGCTGTTATGGACTTAAGTCACCTGTCAGTCCCAAGTGGAGCAAGTTCATTGAATCAATAGAAGCTTGGTAAGTCAGTGAGAATTTAACATCAAATTTTTGTTGATGCAGTAAATTCACTTTGTCAAGACTAACAATTAGGTTTAGACCTACATTTTCTTTTATATTCCTTTTCCTGAACCTTATCATTAAATGTACTCAGAAATTGTTTCAAATATGTTTTTCCACATGTATTTCATAATAGGTAATGGTCAGTCATCCCACTATTTATTTGTGAATAAATAAATAAATAAATCCCAGTATTTATTTGTGAAGCTTCCCATACAAGGGCATGAGAGAAGCCTGCAGATAGCCAATTCTCTCACTCCAGAAGCGACTGCGTGACATGATAGAAAATGTGAAAATTATTTGTATTTGTTTTCCTGTCCGTTAACTCTTCTTCGCCTGCTGCATTCCTACTAAAACTGTATCGATCCAAAGCCCAAGTCTAAGTTTTCCTTTCCTGACTCCCCCAACTTCCTTACTGGTTCCTACTTCTGACAAGCCCTGTTTAATTGAGTAGGTGCTCTGTGCAAAAAAAAAATGTCTGTTCTTTTAATCTAGAACCCCTGTTACATAAATGTTTCTTCTCATGTTGGGAGTTTGTGTGTACATATACATAACTAGAATATAATTTTTACCACATGATTGTTATGCAAGTTAAAAATAATATCTCATCTGAACCACTGAACTATCTTTTCTATTTTATTGTTGTAGCTTATGCATTTACAGTCACGGTTTGGCACAGATGAGAGATTTCGAATGGATGCTCGCTTTCTTGAAAGTGATAGTGAGCAAGAAGGTTAGTTATTTTCCTAATGTTCACCATGCTTGGTCTAAATAAGCCAAACTTCAAACAATCCTTTCTGGGCCTGTCTAGCTTCAACTAATTATTATTAAGATCAATCACTCTTTACTGTTGGGGTGACATAGAAAGCTGCAGCTGATTTGAAAAGTAAACTGTAGTTGTTTTTGCAATCCATGGTTGAGAAAGGAGAGGGGAAGGGAAATGTGAAAGGCTCATTGGGATTCATTCTCATAATGCTAAACTCTGCCATAGTTATACATTTGAACACAGCCAAAAGCTCAATTCATATATATTATGACATGTGCTAAATGCAAAATTACATCACAGTTTCCTTTCCTTTCACCTACCTTTTTATGTAAGTGCTTCGTTGGTTTTGCAGAACAGCCCTTTAATTGGGTGGAACTGCATGTTTGTTGTTATATATCTTACATGATTTTATAGTGTTTTATAGACCTCACCTCTGAGGATGCTTGCCATAGATGCAGGCGAAACGTCAGGAGAAATGCCTCTAGAACATGGCCATATAGCCCGAAAAAACCCACAAGAACTGAGTGTTCTATATTATTGATGTTTTAATAGAACAATAAATAAAATAATAAAGTAGTTGTGATCAGGTTTCTCATAGTCCTATATCTTATTTTAATGTATTGTAAATTGTTTTGGATTTTCTCGTTGAGAGAAAGACATCATAAACTAAGTAAATAAAACTATTTTCAAATCATTTGATATCCTGATTTGCAACCTTTGTGGTTTATGGACTGACACATATTCAGGGATAAAACAAACTATGGTTTGACATGATATTTATCTGAACAAAGTGTCATTCTGTAATGCTTGTAATCTTTTCTTTTCAACTGTTGTTCATCTTTGATCTGGTAGATGAATCCAAGATTGTGAAAGTAGATGAAGAAGAAGGGCTTGCAGTAGAAAAAAAGAAGAATCTTGAGATCTTAAAAAATCTTCTGCATATTGATGTAGAAGCTCCCAAACCTAGCAAACTGACTTCAAATGCCAAGAAATTCAAGTATGTACATTCCTTTAAGAGGAAAACGATGGCCTAGTTTTTTGCATGTAGGGTTTTAAAATTAGCATTCATTGTGCTTTTTTATACTGGTAGGAAATACGATTTTGTTGTGTTCCGTGTGGTACAAATTATTTGCAAGTAGAAAGCTAATAATCTAAAAAGTTAGTTTTCTATATGAATATTATGGTTTTTTGTTTTTGTTTTAACAAAGAGAAGCATTGAAAAATGTAGGAAATGGTAGAGCCAGTTTTTCCAACTCCATATTTACAGCCAGGTCTTCATAGTTGTCAAGGCAACAGGTTAAAAAACTGTTCTTGCCCATGGCACCATCTTTATGTGTAGATTTGTAGATTTATTTTGGCTGTATAGTAGTTTTCATTAAGTAAATATTGGTTAGTATTAAGCAATACATTCTTTAGTTGGTGTAATATTTTTAGATTTGAAAAGATGACAGACAATAACTATGTTTGAATCTTACTGTAACTAAATGTGAAGGAAGAAGTAGCAGCGTTGTTAGATAAGACTATAAATCTGCACCCACCTTCCTGGAAATTAACGTGCCTTAAACTAGTAGGACTACCGGGAAAGCCTTTATAGTATTGACCAGACATACCTGTATTTCTTCAATTGTAAGATGCCATCAATTGTAAGATGCATCCTGATTTCAGTTCGGCCGCCACCATCAAAAACAGATAAAATGCATGTGCAATTCTAAAATGCATCAAACTACAAGAAAGGAGATTTCATCTGAACATTAGGAAGAACTTCCTGACTGTGAGAACTGTTCAGCAGTGGAACTCTCAGCCCCGGAGTGTGGTGATGGCTCCTTCTTTGAAGAGTTTTGAAGAGAAGCTGGATGGTCATCTGTCAGGGGTGCTTTGAATGCAATTTGCCTGCTTCTTGGCAGGGGGTTGGACTAGATGGCCCATGAGGTCTCTTCCAACTCTGTGATTCTATGATGCACTATTTTTGGGAGATGTTTATATAGGGGAAAAATGTGTCTTAGAATCAAAGAAATACAGTATTGGTCTGTATCCTTTCTGTCTGCAGTCAAATATGTGCATATAAAGTGAAATCAATACATATAAAATGAAATCTGGGCACTGTTGGAGGAATCCTGTCCCATTTTCATTTTATAGATTACTGTTCTTAATCAATTTTATTTCTTTTTTTAGAGATATGAATGCCCTACGCTATGACCCCACAAGGGAAGACCATACAGTATTTGAAAAAAAGCCAAAAACTCCTGAAAAAGAGAGGTGATTATTCTGTCCTTACCTTGATCTATTATTTGCTTGCTTAGTTTACCACAGGCATGGGCTGTTAGGAATTATGGGAGTTGACAGCCAAAACATCTGAAGGGCCGAAGGTTGCCCATGCCTGGTTTACCATCTTAATCATCTGTGTGCAATAGTAACTAGCCAGAGTCCTGTTGTGACAAATTGCCAGAGGAATTGACCTTTACACACTGGGTTTAACAAATCTCTACCTTGTGTAAATGGAAGAGCAGCAGCATGAATGAGAGCAGTGGGAGGAGGATGCAGTTGGCTTGAAGCCTACCTATTCCATGGATACCTGGCTTTTGAGGTGGGGGAAATCATTAAAGCCAAAACAATTTAGGAGGACGAGATGGGGAAATTGCCCTTACTGTGTGTGACCACTCATGCCAAAATTAAGCATTCTTTAAATATAAGTATCACTATCAAGACTTTAATACAATCCATGACCAGCACAGAGCATTCTTTGAATAAATCGCTCAAACTGAGGATATCTTCTTTCCAGTGTTGACTTCTTTATCTTCCCATCACATGTCAAGCCACCTTTTATTCCTTATTGTTGCTTCTGTCATGAATTCTACCTCTGGCATAACTACACCAACATCAGTGGAGCCCTGTGTAACTAACTACCTTGAGCACCATTCTCTTGGTTATCTTGTTAGCTAAGTAATGGAGGTGGAGAAAAATGTTTGCTTTAATTTAGAGAAAATGAAGGTTAACCAAATTGTGATTTCAGAGGCTGCGTTAAGCCAGCCTCCCAATGGGAGAATGACAGACAGGCAACAGTTAGTCATCAAATGCTAAGCTCAAGCAATCTAAATGTCTCCTTGACCTTTGTCTTGGTGCAAAAAATTTACAGTGTTAAAATGCAAAGTAGTTTTGTTATACATACCCTGAGGCAACACTACATTCCTGTTTCACTCCTGGTGTCATATACACAACCTGAAGTAAATATTAAGTGAGCTCTAGCTTTGTGCTGAAAGAAGATAGCTTGAAAAATCACAATTCTTTGTGTCTCTTGGCAGCCCAGAGAGTCCTCCCACCCAAAACTATAGCACAGTGGATTCAGTGATAATTTTGAATGGGATGGAGTTTGGCACAGGGAAGTGGGGGAGATGCATCCAAATAAGGAATAGGTATATTGGACAAGCAGAACAGGCATGTGGTGTCCTCACTCAATGTTTAGACAACCCCCACACCCACTCCTCACCTATTTCAATTGAGTCAAATGGGGGCAGCTTGGGACATTAACTCCCTTCCTCCAGCACAACATAGAGAGCGTAGTCCATCACCAGAAATGTGTTTGGTCTGTAAAATGTAAAAGATAAGATAAAAATGCATTCATAATTGGTGCTTGCAGTAAAGCAAAGAAGAAGAAGAAGAGAGAAGAAGCTCAGAAGCTACCTGAGGTGTCCAAAGAAATATTTTATGAAGTTGCTGTTGATCTGAAAGAAGTCTTTGGGTCTACAAAACAAGAAGAGAGGAAAGAAGAAATATCATGGGACAAGCGTGAAGATGTGGAGGAAACACCTCTGGCTGATACAGAGACATTCAATTTCACTGCTGGAAACAATGCACCTGAAGGAAGTAGTGGCTTCACGTTTTCCTTTTTTGGTGCTGAAGAAAACAGATCACCTGTGAACAAAGGTACCAGTGTAGTTTAGACGTGTAGGCAGAATACACCTTCATACAGTCACTGTTTTGAAATTTGGTAATTGCTCTGTGGTTGCATTTCCTTGATAACACAGTGTTTCCCAAACTGGATTTCCAGATGTTTTGGACTTCAGAATCCCTCATCATTGGCTAAGGCAGCTGAGGCTTCTGGGAGATGAAGTCCAAAACACCCGGAAGACTAGAGATTGGAAATCTTTGCAAAGGCTTGACTTGGTTCTAAGCATTGTCACCTGCTTTTATGATGCAGATAGATCCTCATTAGCATCCCGTTATACTAACTCTAACAATTCCTGAACCTGGACCCTGTTTAGTTTTTGGCTCAGTGTAAGGTCTTAGTTCTTGCCTGCCTAGGCCTAGAAAATTTGTATCATCTTTTGACATTACATTATGACATTTAAGACTAACTAACTTGGGAACATGATCTTTAATGTATATAATCATTGCAAGTGGGTTATCTTTGCACTACAGTCTTTATTATACTACACTGTTATAGTGCTATATTCCATTTTAACTGCCGTATCAACCTTCTACATAACTCTGGGATTTGTGGGGGCATTTAGAAGTTTCAGCCAGAGAGCTCTAGTGCCTCACCAAACTACAAACCCCAGAATTTAATAGGATGTTGCTTTGTCAATTAATGTGGAATATAGCACTATAACAGTGTAATAAGGATCCAAATAATCACCAAGAATGTGCTTAGAAGAGAATTCTCAATAGCTGTAATTGCCATTTCCTCAGAACTAAGATTTGTACTTGCCAATTCCTCAAGACAAAGACCTCACCTAAACATATTCTAGAAGATGTATCAGATATTTTTTTTATTAAAACTGTGCTTTATAGCTCCCCGTTAGTGTTATTAGCATGTTGTTTAGCTCCACTAAGTGGGATAGGCTATATATTCAATTAAGCATACTTTCAAGGAATAAGTGCTGTGTGTCAACATTTATGTTAGGAATTGAATAGAGGTTGTAATTTTGGCTGTGATTTCTATGTTATGCAGAGAATGGATGATCTAATACATAAACTGATTATTTCTATGTTGCGAATGTGTGTGTGTGTGTGTGTGTGTGTAGGGCATCTTTCTCTATAAAACACTCTCTTCTGTCCCAAAGGCAGAGGATAAATTTTGCTAAACAAAAGTGTGTGTTTTTTATTTGTTTTATTTTTCAGAACCCTATACAATTGAAACAGTAAAGCCTACAAAGGTTGCCTGGCAAGAAGATCCACGTTTTCAGGACAGCAGTTCAGAAGATGATGAACCAGAAATAGTTCAAAATGATGATGTTCAAGAGAGGTAAATTATGTGTAGATAGGCATATTTACAAATAATCCATAGGGTGTGTGGCTTATGGAGATCACAAATACTACACAATTCTTTATAGGTTCCTTTTCAAATCAGTCACTGTATTTAAATCATTGGGGAAAACAAGCTATAACCTTGCAGTAACATGCAGTAAACACCAAAGGATCCTGATCATTTTTTACCAATTTGACCCTCATCTTACCCAGTTTAAATCCATTTCACATCCTTTGGCAGTTATTCTTGGAAGGAAGGGGTGGCAGTAAATCCCAGTGGTCTTAGTCCTTTACAATTTTAGAAAAAACTCTAAGTGTTTATTTTGGAAATGCTGCTCAAAATAATAATAATAATAATAGTAATAGTAATAATAACAACAACAATAATAACAACCTGGCTCTCCCTGCAGATTAAAATTCACAATTTAAAATTGACCAGTTTTTTTTTTCATGTCAGGAGCATCTTAAGAAACCAAGTCACTTCTGGTGCGAGACAATTGGCTATCTGCAATGACGTTGTCCAGGGGGTGTCCAGATGTTTTTTGACGTTTTACCATCCTTGTGGGACCGCTTTGAGTCCCCCTAGGGGTGAGAAAAGCGGTATATTAATACTGTAAATAAAATAAATAATAATTCTCTCATGCCCCCGCTTGGGGAGCTGGAGCTGACAGAGGGAGTTCATCCGTGTTCTCTGGATACAAACCTCCGACCTGTTGGTCTTCAGTCCTGCCAGCACAAGGGTTTAACCCATTGTGCCACTGGGGGCTCCTAATTGACCAGGTAGGCCTGCCAGAAGAGATGAATCTTCAATTGTGTCTTAAATTCTGACAGCTGATCTAGCTGTCAAATCTCTTCTGGCAGGTCATTCCTCAGTCTTGGAATATAAACTGTTATCAGTATTACTTTTAATGCGTTTTCACCTTGAAAACAAGTTTGTCATTGAAAAACTTGAGATTTTTGTAGCTATTAATAGCTGTTTCTCAAAAAACATTCCTCCAGCTCTGTAACTCTAATAGAAGTCACCTGCCCAAAAATCTCTGCATTAAATTCATCTAGGCTGAATTATTAATTTAAATGTATATAATTGTTTTTCAAGATTAGTTTTTTATACTTTAAAAAAAGAGGTTTGCTTGTTTTTTAGGCCTCCCACTCGACTTCAATCAAACATCAGATTTTTCTTTTTCTCCCAAGATGACGATAGATTAAAAGGTAAAAATGAGAAATATTCTGTTTAATGTTGGATGTAAAAATATCAAATGTACTATATTGACTTGTCAGGTTTTCTCCTTGAATGTTAGTAGCCAATTCATTTCAGTTGAATTAAATGTTAATAGCCAATTCAAGTGTGGTCTTCTCACACTGGTTTTTAATACTGTTTTTATCATGTACTGTTGTTTTATATGAAGCGTTACATTTTCTCTGTGTTTGATTTGTATGTGTTTTGAGTCTGTATTGTCCTAGGTTCGAACGGTATCGAATTGTTGCCAAGTGTTAGCCGCTCTGAGTCCCTCAATGAGAGAGAGAGAGGGGGGGGGGGTATAAAACAAAGTAAATAAATAAAATAAATTTCCATTTAGGTGTTTGATACTTTTCTCTCGGACCTCTTTTCTGTGCACATGGTTTGAGCTTCTGTAAGGTGGTCTAAATATTATAAAACAGCACTTCATGTGCCTGTCAGGAAGCACTATAAATATCACAGTTGCCAAGGTAATTATCACTAAAACTCAAATTTATAATTTTAAAATCATGTTTTATCTGGGGTAGTAGTTGCTATTTCAGGCCCTTCCTATAGAAAGGGTTTGGATAGTGATGAGCTGTGATCTTTCCTCCCTTGGTGTTAATATATTCCTCTGCTGTCAAACAGTGATTTTTAGAAGAACAGCCACAATATTGGGAGCACCATATGGCAGGCAATAGCTTGTGATTCTCTCTGGACATTTTAGAAAATTGATGTCTTTTTTGGATAGTGTGATTGATTAATCATTAATGTAGCAGGCAGTGCTGTGACGTAATAGGATGGACTACAGCAGCTCTGGGTCTGTAAACATAAATAGGAAAGCCCATATCACCAAAGACAGGAATTGGGAATCTTTGGCTTGTGATGATAACCTCTTTCTTTCATACTCACAAAATCACTGAGGTTAAGAATATGAAATGCTTTTTCCTTCATCCCTTTTCTAGAAGGCCCCAAGCTCTTTTGTAAATCTTTAGACCTCGATGAAGACAGAGATAATTGGGAAAGCAGACGTCAAATGTTACTCGAGGTATGTAAATAAAAACATTATCCATTGATCCAGAAGTATTCTAGATACTCTTGAAGATTCCTAATCCTTCAAAATCTTTTTTATGTAGGGCATTTTATTTGCATGTGTTAAAATGTGCAGCTTACCATAGTTGTGTTTATCTATATAGTGAGATAAATTGAATATTCTCCCTTCCCTTTTATTTATTTGGGTTTAAAAAAATATTTTTATTTATTTTATCATAATTCAATATATTTGGTATACATTGTTTGTTTTATGCCAGACACATAATATTCAATACAATTTACCATATATTCACTTTTGGCATCTACTGTTATTTTCATGCTTATACATATTTTCTATTCCTAACCACCGTGTTCTCCTCTACCCAAGCTAATGCTTTTATATGTCATCTGTCCAAAATTTCATTTCCTCTTGTGGAAGTAACTTTCTGTCTTTCTTTTTGAATCCTGTTTCAATAAATACATAATCAAAATCACCTTGTTTTCACATCCCCCTTTTAACTTTTAATTTACATGTCAGTTTTTCATGTATTGCCAATTTCCATACTTTATACCATTCCTTTATTTGTATATTTACTTCTCTTTTCCAATTCTTTGCTATAAATAGTCTTGCTATTGTTAATAAGGTTGTTATTGCATCTCTATCCTCTTTTTTCAGCTGATTATTATATATTGATAATAAAGCTATACTAGGACTTCTTTCTATTTTAATGTTAATTATATCCTCTATTTCTCTAAATACTTTTCCACAGAAATTGTTTACGTATTTACATTGCCACCACATATGTATATATGTTCCTGATTCTTGGCATCCTCTCCAACAATTTTTTGAATAGTTTTTATTTATATTTGCTATTCTTATTGGTGTCAGATACAATTTCCATATTAACTATAGTAATTTTCTTTAACCCATATTGATAAATTTTTCAAATGTCTTTGTGTCCATAATTGTAACCACGCCATTTCATTTATTTTCATCCCTAAATCTTCTTCCCAGATCTCTTTGAAGGTGTTATCCTGTATTTTTCCTTCGTTTATTTCAATTATTATCCTATATATTTTACTAGTTATTCCTTTCAAATTTTTATGTTCCTCTATATCCCTTCCATTTTGTATTATTTGTTCGAATTGATTAAGCTTACTTCCATTTTTATTATTTTTTACCCAATTTTTGGACCATTGTTCTAATTGTATGCAAAGGAACCATATCAGTTTTATTTCTCTAAATTCTTCCATCATCATTTCCTTCTTCATTCCAACCTTTATCAAATCCCCTATTTTGTCTACATTTTTTCCCTTTTAATTCATTATATATTTCTTTGTTTTTAATTCTGAAGAGTCTTTATAAAATATACATACTATAAAATTGTAATAATATGAAGATCTGAAAATGGAGAGGGCATCTTATTTCTAGCACAAGAAATGAAAGAGTAGCTGTTTGTTTTTTATTATTAACTGTTCTTTGAATACTGTAAGGATAACTTTCCCATTGGTTCTTTAGTTATCCCTACAGATAGAATAGAATATAGATGCCTAAAAACAAGAATGCAGCAAAAGGGGGCGGCTCTTTAGATACTTAAACAATACAGCCTCTGTAAATAACATTATGTAACAAAATTTGAAAAAAATTCTGTTCCTGGTTTGAAAGTGTTATTTCCAGTTTAATTGTGAGATACTTACTTTGAAAGTAGTTGTTACAACTCCAGAAATTTTGTTTTTGTGGCTGCCATTTTTAACCTATCATATGCCACTTTTAACCTCTTGTGCAGACCGCAAAAACAAAGTTTTTGCAGTTTAATAAACTTTTCCCATTTTTAATGATAGAACCAATTAGGAAATGACATTTATAACCCAACAACAAAAATTGTGTTACATAGTATAATTCATTTATTCCTGTGGCTTGACAAAACTGTAAACATTGGTGGCCATCCAAACTCCTTTGCAAGAAGTTGCATAATTCTGAATCAGGGAGACCTCTTCATACAATTGTAGATTAAAAACCCCGGGGCACCAGATCCCATCTGATCTTGGGATCTAAACAAGGCCAGGCCTTGTTATTACTTGGATGGGAAATCACCAGTGAATACCAGGTGCTGTAGACCATGTTTTTGAGTTAGGAACCAGTAAAGCCCATCTCTCACTATTCCTTGCCTAAGAAAGCCCTTTCAAATACATGGGGTTGCTATAAGGCAACTTGTCTGGAGCAAATGAAACACAAAACTGGACTTGTAGATCTGAATGGATAGACATGATCATTTGAGAGAAGGTGCTACTCGAGTAGCCTGGAAGATCCAGACCATATAGATATTTTTCATGAGTAGCTTTTAAGCTCTGCACAGAAACTTGTATTGGTTGGATCGACATTTTGAATGGTTCTGCAGATGTGGCATGCTTGACACAAGGCGTAGCACATGTTTTGCACTCCTGGTAATTTTTAAAGTGGAACTTTGTATGAATCCTTGTGGTGGTTGCTTTCCAAAGGAAGGTGCAAGCTGCCATAAGATATCTTAACTGTGTCTACCATGGGCTTAAAACAGTTACTGGGAACAGGCTTAAATACTTACCTACTGAAAACACTATATAGTTTGTTATTTCTGTCAAAAAGTAATGTGTGGGCCGTATCATTCCCTGTCTGGCATCCATCTGGCAATATTGACTCGGCTACAAAACCATCTTGAAGCCCAGTCACAACAAAAGGCCTCAATGCAGAGGAAGGCCATCTGTTCAGTGTTTGGCCATTGGTTCTCTGACAAGGGTCAAACTAGCTTACATGATCCCCATTTGTACTTGTCAAATAACTATCTCTTTCTACCGGATATACATTTGGCTAGTTGATAAAGCTGAAACTGTTCAAAATAGTAGCTTAAAATTGTAAACTTTTGATGACTGTTAAACTTGCAATATTTCCAGGACTGTCGAAAGAAACATAAAGATGCAAGACGGAAAGTCAAAGTAAAACGGTGAATATGGTGATTCTGCTAAGCAGTGGTGATCCAAACTATTGACATGTTTGTATCTAATGGCAGACTAAGAAGAGGAGTTGGTGGAAGATTTTGGCACTGAGAATTCACAACTTTGAAATAGTAGCTTTGTTTCCATGTGTATTGCATAATATGGATATTTTTATTGAATATTTTGAAAATTACACATTTCTGCCTTGAAGAAAAGACCTCTTTTTATATAGCTGCAAGTCAATAAACACATCCAGCATAGCATTTCAACAAGATTCTTTCGAGTGGATATTTGCACTCTTTTTATCACCCTGTTTTTTTAAAGAGTGATGTATTTAAGCCCTTTATGGGCACGCACATCTGGGAAAAGGAGAAAATTCCTAGTAACACATGTATGGTTTTCATACCATCATTTATTGTGGGCGCCTCATACCATAAATAAAATTTAGTTAAACTGATAGCTGTTTTTAGGACAAGAGCCAGATGGCGAAGGAGTGTGCACAATACAACCCAGATAACGATGCACTGTTATATATTAAATTAATACAGAACAAGTGCCACTGCAGTAGTGAAGTAAAAAAGAGTGAATTATGTATGTAAATAATTGTATTTTAATCTTGTGTTTAATCTTGCCTTTAATCTTGGTTTATTGTTTTGTGGGGTTTTATGTTTACATTACATTTATGTTTTGTGTCTTGATAAACTGGGTCCAAATTACAAAGAACAAACATTATTTTTCTACTTCTGTGACTTCAAAGGAAGTAAGTTCTGCCAAACTCAGTGTGACTTCCTTGTGACAAACATTTTTAGGACGGGGATATTTGCTTGTGATCCAAAACCTCATAAATGTAAACTTTTCCCTTGACATGAATGGTATCTGGGTCAATTTTATGCAAGTTTCTTGCAAGGCGGATTGGAAACAAGGGAGCATAACTTCTTCATTCTCATGATGTGATTATTGAGATGATCATTTTGACAAAGCAGATTTAATTTGTTTTTGTAAAAGAAAACTAACATATTTTTTCAAGCAAAAAAATCCAAAATAAATAAAAAATATCAAATTTGTACATTTATTGAAGAATGTTTGGCCAATGATAGCACATATCTCTATAATTGATAACTTGCTCAATATATGTGTTGAAGAATAACCATTATAAACTAGGTTTCCCATCCCAAACATTTGTTACTGACATAAGTTTTGAAAGACCATAGCAAAAAGTAATGAACACCAGAGAAAATTCAAATACTGCTTGCATGTTAAAGAAACATGTCTTGTGTTGTGAAAGGCTTTCATGGCCAGAATCAGATTCCCAGGCTGTATGGCCATGATCCAGAAGCATTCTCTCCTGATGTTTTGCCCACATCTATAGCAGAAACACATCTTACCTGTAATTTTCTTGTGTCCTTTGATGTGGTTGAATGCTGTCAGTATAAGGAATAGCTTCTTCGCCATTAGAAAAATAGTTTGAGTTAAATATTGAGTTGAAGAAAGTGAGTTGGACAGGAAGATAGGAGCCCTTAAAGTTGTTCAGTATATACACTGGAAATGTGTAGATTTGCTGTGAATAGAAAGGAAAAGTAGTCAAAATAAGTATGCTTGAAAACACAGCAGTGTTTGAGGCAAAGTCCTCAGAAAATAAAGCTTGTTTAATGTTCTTTAACCAGCAAATTGTGCTACTGTTTCATTTACAGATTATTTTTGGCGTGCTGTGAGTTTTTCGGGCTGCTTGGCTATGTTCCAGCAGAATTTTCTCCTGACATTTTGCCAGTGTCTGTGGCTGGCATCTTCAGAGGTTCAAGAGAAAATGCTGCTGGGAACATGGCCGTGCAGCCCAAAAAAATCACAGCAACCCAGTGATTCCGGCCATTAAAGCCTTCGGCAACACATACTATATTTATGTCTTCACTAGAAACAAGAAATATTTCAGAATAAATCCAGTATGGCTACTGTGCAAATTATATGTGGTTAAATTATTTATAAATGATTTCCAACATAACTTTTGCTGAACAGTGAATTCTCCTCTGACAACTTGAAAAAAATGCTCGTTCAAAGGAAAGGGCACATTGAGAGAGGCAGGATATATTTGACACTGTTGTAGGCTAGAACAAGCTTCAATCTTCCTTCGCTTATTTTGTGTCATGTCGCAGATATAAAAAAAATTAACTTCAAAAATCTGGATGAAGTGCTTTCCACATTGAAACAAATGATAGTGCATAAGGAGGTGAGAAGAATTAGACCTTATTTATGAACAGCAGATTCCATCAACGTTGCCTCTGAAAAATTCTGCAAATCTCTTGAGAAGACAGACGGACATATTCCAGCCTGCTGGAAGAAGCAAAGACCACCAGTATTGAAGTGATGGTCCTCTGCCATCAACTCCACTGGACCGGCCACGTTGTCCGAATGCCCGAACACCATCTCCCAAAGCAGTTGCTCTACTCCGAACTCAAGAACGGAAAATGGAAAGTTGGAGGACAGGAAAAGAGATTTAAAGATGGGCTCAAAGCCAGCCTTAAAAACCGTGGCATTGACACTGAGAACTGGGAAGCCCTGGCCCTTGAGCGCTCCAGCTGGAGGTCAGCGGTGACCAGCAGTGCTGTAGAAATTGAAGAGGCACGAATGGAGGGCAAAAGAGAAAAACGTGCCAAGAGGAAGGCGCATCAAGCCAACCATCCCTGACCAGGACCGCCTTCCACCTGGAAACCAATGCCCTTACTGCGGGAGGACATGCAGGTCAAGAATAGGACTCCACAGTCACCTATGGACCCACGACCAGTACACCAATCTTGGAAGACAATCTTATTGGGACAATGAGGGATCACCTAAGTAATGGACAGCAGCTCTACCTTATTTGCTGTGGTCAATGAAACCACTTTTATTTCATCTGCCTATCTAAGAACTTGATATTTTGGGAAGTTGTATCTATTTATGAATAACATGTATCCTGTTTTCATTGTAATCGCAGAACTGTAAAGTTAGAAGGCATTCAGTCCCTCCTGATAATTAAAGTACCAAACATAATGGTGAACTGTGTCTTGACTAAATCACACTGCCTTTACTTCCTGGTTGGAGCGCACAGCTTAGTTATTCCTGATTTCATAAATCACAATGTTTTAAGGCAAGATATGACTCATACTATGCTGTAAAGGAATTGTCTTAAGGTAGCATATTTGACCTAATCATTTGAAAGGCTTTTTTAAAAAAATCATTTTTAATGACAGTGGCTATTGGGTAAGATAAAATAGCCTAAAGAGATGAATTGTTCAAAGGAGCCTGTTCTGTGTTGTTATTGACTTCCACCATAAAAGGAAGGTTCAACATGAGGGTAACAGTTGCCATATAACCCATTGTGCTTCTTGGTTATAAAGGGATAACTGCTTTTTTATGATATACTGATTGGCAGTTGATATTGCAAAAGCTGTGAAAGAAGACTTTGATATCTTATATAAACATTTTCCACCTTCTTCAGTTATAAATAATATGGCATGTGTTCATCATATCTTTGCATCTATGCTTCTAGGTAAGCTAGTTTACCTGATTGTAGGTTGTGCAAAGCCTGTTGCTTTCCTTGATTGCAGAGCTGAATTTAGATGTCTGTAAGATTTGACTACCTTAGATATTATGCTTTCTTTGTACACTTCCATTATCATGATATAGAAGAAAATGCAGCAATGCAAAGAGTGGAAATTAAAAAAAACCAAATTGCTTGTCTGGGAGATAAAAGAAAGCAATTGGAAGCTCCTGGGATGCCTTTTTAAAATATTTATTTATTTATTGAAATAGACATACATTTGTAAGTGTTGCTGCATATAGTGCAATATTTTCCAGCTATTCGTGTTCCATAATCATTTCTCAGATATCTTTTCTTTAAAAAAGAGATGACAACTTTTAAAATATATTTTAAAAGTTTATCTTTTACTAGTACTCAGCACTGGATTGAATAGGCTTGTGTACAAATTCAGTCTGGTCAGTTCCCTTCAGCAGATCTGGCTTGTTCATCTTGTTCGGATGGCAATAATGGTAAGGGCTTAGCCATCATGTTTTTTCGTCCATAACTGGGCCATACAGCAGTCAATCATGACTCATCCCCACCCTATTTGGCACCACACAGCGCACGAAGAGGCTGCCGCGTGCTGCTTGCATGTGGTTTCCCTGTGAGCCCTGCCTGTTGGGCCAATCAGAATAGAAGAATGCTGTGATGTGCCTTATGCAAGCTTTTTTAACCCGGTTCTTCAAACCCAGACTCCCTTGAAAGGAAGATAGGGAAGGGTCCCAGGAATATAAAGAGGAGCCTCGTAGGTCCCCAGTTCCTTCCAAGGGGCCAGATCTTCCTGGATCTTTTGGCTACCTAGTCAAAAACAGATTTTTCCATTAGCCAATTTTTGGGAGGCTCCCAAAAACGGAACTCAGGACCCATCAAAATTTGGAAACCAAAAATGGACCGCCTTCCAATTGATTTGCATAAACCTAGTATTGAGCTCCATCTTTTATTTTTTTATATAAAAATTATAATTTTAAAAGAAGGAAAACGTATTAAATCATTTTGCAAGAAAGCATATTAAATCATTTAGCAAGTTAATACAAGGCTATTCAAAGATATAAAACCACCATGCATGAGCAGATTTGGATAAAATCAGTTGGACTCCAAAGGTTCTAGTAAAAAGGCATGAATCCAGAGCCCACTTTGTCCAGTGGCAAAGCTTGATGTGGTATTATGTCTGAGTTACATACATATGCTTTTGGTAGCTGTCAGCCTTAGCTTCTGCCAACCTAGCAGTTTGAAAACATGCAAATGTGAGTAGATCAATAGGTACCACTCCGGCGGGAAGGTAACGACGCTCCATGTAGTCATGCTGGCCACATGACCTTGGAGGTGTCTATGGACAATGCTGGCTCTTCAGCTTACAAATGAAGATGTGTGCCACACCCCAGAGTCGGACACAACTAGACTTAATGTCAGGGGAAAGCCTTTACATTTACTAGCTGTAAAGAAGAAAAACTATTTGAAATGCGGTGATAGAGGTCAGTTCTATGGGTGATATAAAAAGCCAAAAAGACAAAATGGTCCTAGAGCAAATCATGCAAATCAAAATGACCAAATGGAAGCTGTCACACATTGGTCATGGCAATTAAAGCAAAACACTGTATTTTAATCAGACCAATCAAGATTGAACTTCTTTTCCTAGAAACTAACATTATTAAATTAAGAGTACATGATTCATTAAACAAGACATTGTCAGCAAAATGGGAATGCTATCGAAAAAGAGAAAGACAGCATTTGAGGTGGATAGACTCAATGAAGGAAGCCACAATCCTGACTTTGAAAGACCTTTGCCTTTGGAAATCACTTGTTCATAGGGCAACTTGGCAGCAGTTAACAACATCACCTCTGCTTCTTGAAAGATTTGTTCAGAACAGGTTGCTTACCCAACTTCCAAATCTGGGAACCACTAATCCATAAAGCCTTGATATCATTGTCATTCATTTCCAGTTTATTTCCCCTTATCAAGTCAATCACAGCATCCTGACATTCACCCAGCACTTGCACAAACCTGACTCTGATGACAAGGGGAAGTAAAGCTGCATGACATCAGCATATCATTGGTGTTCGTGTGTGTGTCTTCAAGTCACCTGTTGATTTACGGTGACCCTATGGAATTCATAGGATTTTCTGTGGTATCTGAGTCATAACTCCAAATACCCTCATGTATCTTCTCTAAGGATTACATTTTTAGAGGCTCAAGCTGCATCTACATTGTAGAATTAATGCAGTTTGACTCTCCTTTAGCTACCATGGCTAAATGCTATGGCATTTGTAGGAGTTGTAGTTTTATAAAGTCTTCAGTTATTTATTTAGTTATTTGTTTAATATAATTCTATCCTGCTCTTCTCACCCTTGCAGGGGACTCAGAGCAGTGTACATAATGGCAATGTATTTAATTTATTTAATTCCCAGGCCCCATAGAATTTTTGGGCTTGCACAAAACTTGGCCCAGCCTTTTTAATTTTTTTTAAATTTTTTTAATTGCCTTGAACAGGCAGGATTATTTTTAATATGTGTGTGTTAAGGTG